GTCAGTAACAAGATCGAAGTTGGATCGAATATAATGATTCGACCTAGTATGATATATTTTATGCACGTGATGCAATACGAGTTGTTTTGATCTTCAAGAAAACCAGCTTTAAAAAGTTTGCTGTAGCCAACATGAGTTCTTGGACCAGAACAGTTGATAAATATCACCATTTTGTTCTGTATAATCTTCAACTTCTTTTAATCTAACTTGTTTATGTTACTATACCATGCAGGGTTAGCATAGTCAAATAAACATTGAATAAGAGCAAAACAGAGTTTACGTCTTGCTTTTAAATCCATACAACTTTGATACCTGTATATAAATTTCAGACGAGAATTTGTTTTTTTTTACAACTGATTCTACTAAAGATGAAAATGAAATTGCGCTAGCCAACTCAATGCCTAAATACTTCACAGAATCTTTTCTCTTGATTACTTGATCATTGTGTGTCACTTTGAATTCAAATGACTTTTTAGAACTACTTTTAGAACAAAACAAAATGCTTTCTGTTTTTCCCAAGTGTAAAGAAAACTTATTATCAGTCATCCAATCGACACACGCAGACAGCTGTTCACTGAGCTTTTCCTCAATATATTTAGGATCAGGATTTGAATAGAGTAGTACGCTGTCATCTGCGTACAATAATAGTTTAAAGTCTTTTATACAAAATACACATATCATTTATATAACTTGAAAATAAAATTGGGCCTAAAATGCTTCCCTGAGGAACACCGCATGTTATAGGCATTAGTTTGGAACGAATATCATGAATGGCCACTACTTGGTATCGATTAGATAAGTAGGATCTGAACCAATCTAAACTTGCCTTATAAGGGAGTTTACAGATAGCACATGGTACAAATGGCCCCAATTATCCACAGATCTTTTACACATGGAGAAGTTCCACTTTGAGCATATTAGAATAATAACGGCCAAAGTCCTAGATGTGCTTCATGAATACCTTTTGTTTGCCCCCTTAAAAAGAATACTTCCACCTGCGTATCAAAGAATGTACCGTTGGTGCATAAATGAATAATGTTACATAACTTTCATGAGCGCATATCCAGTATTCATCTCTGTGGGTTTTACCTTTTTGGTACAAATGACCTTTATCTGCCCATGCGCAGATTGTTTCTGTAAACTCCCTTATTAAAACCCATTAGTTGTAACTTCTTCAATAAGACGCAATGATTAACTGTATCAAAAGCTTTTTGCAGATCAAGGAGCACCATACCAACAAAGCGCCCTTGGGAAGTTTCTGTCCTCAAGTAATCAGTCAAATGAATTAGACATGTTTCAGTCGAATAATCATGTCGAAAACCAAATTGAAATTCATAAATTATATCGTTTTCTTTGAAGTATCTTTCAATTTGAACACAGACCGATTTTTCTAGAATGTTTGATGCTACGCTTAAAACACTAATAGGTCTATAGTTGCTAACATCAGTTTTATCTTTCTTTTTATAAAGTGGAGTCACTTTTGCTATTTTCATATCCTCTGGAAAAGTACTAGTCAAGATAGATAGGTTCATGAAGTAACTTAGAGGCTTAAATAAAACCTTCGCACCATCTTTTAGGAATTTAGCTGGAATCATGTCTAACCCAGTACTTTTTGATACATTCAACTTACGTAACTCTTTGAAAACAAATTGTTCACTGATTGGTAATAACTCGAAGCTGTTTTCACGTACACCTTTCTTTCGTAAAAATCACGAATATAATCATTGTCTGCGCTGAAAAAGTCTTTGGAAGGGGGGAGTTTGTCTACTAATTTTGGCAGCCACATTTGTGAAATGAGAATTGAATTCATTAGCGATGGCCATCTTATCATGACATAATTCCCCATCAATTTTAATGACAGATTCTTGTTCTTTTTAATATATATTTGAATTATATGCTGCTTGACAGCTTGTAAGTGTCGGTATGGTGCACCCGCAAGCCTACTGTATAAGATTTGAATTGTTTTTAAAGCTATTGCATGACATGATAAGCTGATCCAGGATTTTTACCAAAAAGAGGGGCAGAAGCCAATGTTTTGGCAAAGCGATGTGCCCCCCCCCCCATAAGTCCAATCGAAAAGGAAAACAAAATTAACGGTATCACAGCACCTTGAGTGAGAGACAAGATTTGAATTGTTTTAAAGATATTGCATGACATAGGGGCTATAACTATAAGAGGCGGATCCAGGATTTTTGTTTAAGGGGGCCGAAGCCGACATTTTGGCAAAGTGCTCTGCCCCCTGACGCCCTCAAATCTTAAGAAATTCAGAACTTTCAAGTCATAGCCGTCTTGAGCGATAGAAACTCTAATCTATTTCTTGAAATTTGCACTGCCCTATATTCGTCTTTTTTGTTCTTCATTTGGAAATCTCTCTCTCTCTCTCTCTCTCTCTCTCTCTCTCTCTCTCTCTCTCCAGGCTCTCTGCTAAGATCAACTTTAAGGCCCCTTGTATAGGTTAGAGCCCCCCAGACTCTCTCGACATTTTAGCAATTTAGAACCTTGAAGATCGGTGATTTTGAGCGATAAAAACTACAATATCTCTTGAAATGTGCACTTCCCCTAATGCTTTATTTCGCTCGAAAATATAATCTCTCTCAAAAACACAAACACTCTCTCTATAAAGGACACCCTATATAGAACAAAGATATGTCTTTTAAGGGATCCATGTGCCCTCATTATAGCCTCTAATGGTCTAGGGCGGGCTTTTTAATAACCATCGTATGATATTTCAACTAAATAATGACCGATATGATATTAAAGCCAGGCGCGTACGCAGGGGGGGGGGGGGGGGGTTAACCCCCCCCCCCTCTTGAGTTTTTTGCCCCGACCCCCAACATAAAAAACCTTCTATGTGGGCATGCCTTGAACCATAACGCATAGCCCTACAGAGGAAATTTTCCTGTTGGGGACTGGGGGAAAATGCAATGAATTATTGAAAATTATTGTATTTTCTTTGTTTTGGGGTTTTTGTGGGGGCGTCGACGTACCCTAGCGCCCGCTGCGTACAGTCATGATTCATTGGCTAAGCAGTGGCCTCGTTACTGTGAGCCCTCAGGATCAAAACCGTGTCGATGTGCTATATAAGTTCCCTTCTATGAGCCATTAATCCCCATTACTGTCAGTTATGACTGAAGGACGTAGGTCCCCTACTTGATTAGCATAGTAGCACACACATGCTTTAGCAGCTGGCTGAGTCGTTGCGAAATTTTCGGCCCGATTTATAAATGTTAAACCCCCCCCCCCCCCCTTGAAAAAATCCCGCGTACGCGCCTGTACGTACATAATATGCAGAAAATAGTACGGACATGCCAGCTTAGCTGTCGGGGCAGACTTACTCTCTCGTAGAAAGAGAGGAGAGAGAGGGGGAGGTAGGAGCCTGAGACAGGTGGGATGGGAGTAAAAGAGAGAGGAGGGTTGTTGAGTGGAGTCGTCTCGTCGACGGAGCAAAAAAGACACGTATAAATATGTTGCTGTGTCGGGTCAGCTGTGTCAGTATTCTTGCTCGATCCTCGTGTATATATCAATGGAGAAGTTTGAAGTCGGTGATATGTATAATGTCGGTCGGCCGACAAGTTTTTTTTCCTACGAACTGTGACTTTTTATCCGCTGTGACGACTTCGAGAGAGACCGCAACTATACAATACTTGTATTTTCTCGAAGTTTCACTTTCCTATAATATCAGCTAAAGAAATCAGAGGTTTAAAATTTACTGGAAGATTAAATTCAAATAAGGATTAATTAGAGTCAAGAACGTTACAACGAATAGTCTTTTTTTCTCTAATATTTTAATGAAACGCCAAAGCATCCGCCCTTCGCGCAGGAGCGTGACAACTGAATTCAGACAAATTAGGGTTAAGAGTCGCGAACGGTAAATGAATCGTCTTCTTTCTATAATAATTCAATGAAACGTCAAAGTTTCCGGGCTTCGCGTAGGAGGGGGGAAACTTCATTCAAACAAGGATTAAGAGTCGAGAACGGTACAACAAATCGTCTTCTTCCTCTAATAATTTAATGAAATGTCAAAGCTTCCGCGCTTCGCGCGCGGAGGGGGGAACTGAGCCAGATAAAGAATAACAGTCGAGAAGAGTACAACGAATCGTCTGCTTTCTCTCATAATTTAAGGAAACGTCAAAGGAGGAAACTTCATATGAAAAACTATTTAGCCTTCGGCTCCGGGTTTATAGGGTTAAATTTGTAGACATTGGTACATTAAATTTGGGGGCTAGTTTTGTCGGTAATCGGTGGCCCCTACCAGGGGCGGATATCCAGCCGGCGGCAGGGGAGGGGGCCCAAAGAGGGGGCCTAATTCGTGAGAAAATATTGAGCGGCGAAACAGCCAACCGGTGAATAAGTGTGTGTGTGTGTGTGGGGGGGGGGTGCTAAGAGGCACTTTTTTTTTGCCCTCGAAAATTTACAAATCGCACCCCCCCCCCCCCCCCCCCCCCTTGAGCAACAGGGGAGAGGGCCCGTCTCCTCAAATACAGGTAAAATTAACGTGTTTTTTTTCTTCCTCAAGGGAGGTCCCCCCCCCCCTTGGATCCGCCACTGGCCTCTAAACTCCCCCCCCCCCCCCCCCCCCCCCCCCCCACTGAAAAAGGTGTCTAGCGACGCCCCTAGTGCCGGTTAATATATTCGATTATTTATGACTACCTTCAAAAACAACATAGTTTTTAGTGCTGCACTAGTCTTCAGCACAACTAGCCCGTTATATGAAAGACATAAATCTGACAATCCTGTATTATCTATAAAGAGGTCAAAAAAGATATGGAGTAATTTGTCAATTAATTTGTTTTTCATGAAGACTGCGTTGAATTATTCCATTATCATATCGCACTTCATTATAATATATGACAGTGTAAATTATGATGCGTCATTGCAAATAGTCAAAATGGTCTTGAAATAGACTAAATTCTCTATATCCGGCTTTGGTTTCAGAGGAAATCTGACGAGGAAGTGCCGAACAGCTAGGTAAGTAATCATTTCTTTATTTCTTGAAATTAATAAAGTGTTGCATGTTGTGTGATTAACTGTTTTGTTATTTAAACCATTCCAAAAGTTACTGCACAGTGTCAGTGAATTTAAAACACTGGCCAGGAGAGGAAAGAGGTTACTAAAACTTAGAACAGATAGATCGATAGAGAGAGAGAGAGCTAGAGCGGCGAGATCGAGAGGTGCCCGTCCCCCAGGCTCTGCGGGATATCCCTTGAAAGTACCGGTAAGAAAAGTTTGCAGAGCAGTGGCACAGCACAGTCACACCTAACTCCGGGAAGCTCCAACACCGGCGCCGCAGGCGTCGCACAGTGGGCCAGGGAGGAACCAAAGTGCGCCAAAACTCATGTTTGGGGATTTATTTTTTATAAATCCAGAGGAAATGTTTGGATTTCCAGGGATTTTCGCTTAAATTTTATTACCAACATTTTCTCTGATGTCTAAGCTTATAAGTTGATACCAGATTTGGCTGCCCGATTTTGCCCGTTATTATGTTAGAGCCGTTTTCCTTGCAACATTGCCCCGAAAAATGTGTTTATTTTGGTCCGCGGTGTCAGAACAAGTGTCACGCGCCCCCTCGCGCCGTGATTTATGACCACGAATCCTTCATGATTCAGCCGCGGACCCCAAAAACCCACATTTTTCGGGGCAATGTGGCAAAGGAAATCGGCTCTAACATAACAACGGGCAAGATCGGGCAGCCAAATTTGGTATCAACTTGAAGCTTAGACATCAGAGAAAATGGTGGTATCAAAATGTAAGCGGTACACCGCGGAGATCTAAACATTTCTTCTGGATTTATAAAAAACATGAATAATTAGTCCATTTTTCAGTGAATTACCCTATAATATATCATGAAGATTGTGTTTCTATTAATTTTAACCCATTCATTCAACGAAATGAATTATCAGGAATATGTGAGAGCAATTTCATATCAATAACTTAAAAACATCATGTTGAATTGAAAGATTTATAAAATAAGTCACTTTTGCACTAAAACTGTGAATATGTAGGATTTTGCTGTTTGAAGCAGTAAATTTATACCCTTATTGTGCATACCGGAATTAAATATTTCACTGAGGTATTCCTCTATGTATTACCTTTCAACTGGGCAAGAAAAAAATAGAAAAAAAAAAATCACCCAAATTTAGTTTTGGCGCACTTTGGTTCCTCCCTGGCCCACTGTGCGTCGGAGCTTCGGGTGGTTTCCTTGGTTTCTCTTGGGGGCTAGTAAAACAGCCGATTGGGTGATATTATCGTTAAATCTGCAAAGGGAGTACTTACAATTTTTACATCATAGGGTGCACAACTCCTCAGGGCTCAACTCCAATCACTTGAATGTATAATTTGAAGAAGTCTTCGATGGGAAAAAAGGTTAATTCGGGGTACTACACCAACGATTCTTCCATGTCGCAGCGTTGATTCAAAATAGCGATGAGAAGGTACGCATGCGCGGCAGTGGCGAAGAAAATATGAATATTCAGGCTATCGAGCGCCGATCGCTCGAAATCGCTGAATATGCACGACTCGAACAAACAGAGCCCTTCTCAACCTCGTGCATATTCAGCGATTTCGAGCGATCGGCGCTCGATAGCCTGAATATATAAGTGGTCCAGGAAGCGGACTTCTGGACCGCTCCAGAAGTCCACCTTCCGAGGTGATCTTGAGGAGCGGGTCTTATTAAGAGCGCTCCAGAGCGCTCTAACGTGCAATGTGAACGGAAAGCGTACTTTGAACGGAAGTGAGCTAGTGACCTTCGGTGCGAAACATGTAGTACGGTACATACGGTTTGTATTCCGCGCGCGAAAAAATTGATCTGCTGACCTGAGCTGCCATAGCAACAAGACCACTTTGACTCGTGGAGCGGTTTGAGCCATTAAAAACTGCTCGGAGAGTGTACGCTCGCAAACCGTTCCTCAAGACCCGTTCCTCTGGAGCGGTCTAACTAAGACCACTTTCAAAGTGAGTGAGAACGGGGTCTAAGTTTACTCAGGGCTTCAATTACTCCATTTGAATCTTGATTCTCTGCTACAAAAAGTTCTAGACTCTATTATTTCTGCATGTATTTTTATAAGAGGTCGTTATACTTTCTTAATGTTCCTACTACCATCTGCGTTTTTTGTTGTTATAATTCTCATAGATACATTTTTATATAACTTGCCAAAGATTTTTAGGTACGGCATACAATTTTGACTATATATTTCTTGGTCATCTTATTAATACTACTTGATGTTGCAATGTATACTTTTATCTTTTTATCGTCAATTCGTATGTAATTTTTTAATTTTTGGCAAGATCCCGCTTTCTCTCTCTTACCCCCCCCCCCCCTCTCTCTCTCTCTCTCTCTCTCTCTTTCCACTTTCTTTATCTCTCTCTCTTTCCTCTCTATTTTTCTCTCTTTCTCCATCTCTCTATCTTCCGTGCTCTTTCCCTTTCTTCACCATATCTCTCAGTCTCTCCTCCTCCCCTATCTCTCTCACTCACTCTCTCTCTTTCTCTTTTTTAACCTTTTTTTCTCTACATCTTTCCTTCTCTTTTCCTCATAATCCTCACTTTCATATTTTATTTAGGTACATATTCCCTATTTCCTTCTTGGTCGTATTTTTGCTTTTATTTTACATTTGGTACAAAATTAAAGATAAACATGTGACATTAACATGTTCTCATAATGATGTAAATGTTACTGTTTTAAATTGTACACTTGTTTTTAAAATGCAATGTTTGATATCCATGTGCAATTCAGTATATCTAACTGTGATGCATGATTCAATAAATACCATACCATACCAAACCTCTGATGTTCCCATTATAATGCATGAGCAAGGTCACGTGTCGCATGCTATTTTTCCAGCGATAGTTTTGGTACACTTGGCCAATGATAGATTGACCACAAAAATTGAACCATATCACACTGATGAAAATCAGACTCTTTTCTTGTTCGTGATATGATAGGGACCAATTATTAATTTATATTTTTGCCAATTTTTGTTTTGGTCTCCAGTTGCCTCAGAGATCTAGCACTTGCCCAGTGCCCACTAGCACTGTGACCAAGAAATACACACAACGATTTAGATTTAGGGGGCAATATATTGTCACAATTGACAATAGATTTCCAAGTGAAATTTTCAAAGAAATGTCCCTTAAACCATTGACTTGAAATAATTGTATTTTACTGATATCTAGGTGTCATAATTTACACCAAAGTACCAATTCTGAGTTAATTCTGCTGACTTTTGTACAGTGCCAGTGGTATTTGAAAATTTTGAGAATCAATAGACATTAATATTGCTAGATGTTAATTTGTTGCATTTGACCGGGATTGTAGTATGTTATGGAACTTTTTTAATTGCACAGAAAACATTTTTATTCTGATGACTCGCACACTCTGCAACCCACAGCACACAGCACAAAACATTAAAATTGTAATATTCTTCCAAGAGGATGATACTGATCCTTGAAAGGAGCAAAAGATTGAAATTGTTGAAAATTTGAAACAATTTTTATTTTTATTTAGTAGACCATCCAAAGTCACTGTTACTTGAGAAATAAATGACACTCTGGAGGCTGGATATATTCACACTAAAGAAATACTCAGTGGCCTTCATGAGACTCTTCGTGTGGCATGGAACTTGTTCCTTGAAATTTTAACAGTCAAGACAAGTGTTGAGGGTCTACACATTGCAATATGAATATATTTGTTTCCTTTGTGTGTTCATTTCAATTTTAGGAATACATAAGTAACGATGGCCAATACTGAAGGAATTAGGCACCGTAAACCAGAGGCAACTGAGGATGACAGGCAAAGTGTACCTCCCAAGCAGGGGAAGAGAAATTTAAAGGAGCAGGGGATGGTGTAAGTTAAAGATAAATGAATAAATCAATCAGCAGCCTAAGAATTCTCTTGTTCTCTTTACTAAATGAGTTAACTCATTCATTAAATCTTAATGAAATCTTACACATACTCTAGTGTCTGACCAGTGCATAGCACACTTGATCCAGAATCATTTGGTGACTTGACACAAAAAGGCCAAGGTAAAATTTTTCCCTTGAAAGTGTACTGACGAGGCTAATAAAGACCTGTGAAATTGCTATGGTGTTTGTAGACCACCCCAGAGATTCTGTAAGGCTTTGTTTCATTTAATTTGTATCGAGGGTCAACAAAATCCTTCCAATGAGCCTGCACATGTGCAGGTATTGCGTGTATCATATATACCTAAAAGTGATTTTAGTAGAAATTTCAAGAGTAACTAATATCAACAATACCCTAAATCCCTTGGATCATACGTCTTTGTAAAACTAGCACTCTCCCAGTGATTTGGATCTATGCTACACCACTGCATAGCATCATTCATTACTTCTTTATGCTTCTTTATCATATGATCTTGGATTAACTTGGTCAGTGAGTACATTTTTTAAAGGAAATTCAAGACTGTATGAGTATGAGAATGTTACAGCAATAACTCAAGGGTTAGAAAGAAATCAGGTAGATTTCAATTAATAATTTTTCTGTTCTGTTTCCTTTATTCCTTTCCAGGACAAAGTGCTGCAGCCTTTGTTTTTCATTATTCAAGATCTCTCTTCTGATTGTGCTTGCATTGACTATACTCATCACGCTCAAAACTTCTCCTGTAGAACCAGAGGCATTTGAGTAAGTCACCTTATGGAAGGGCAATGAATAATTGCATTTGTTTAGTTGCCTATCTTGATGAGGGTCTGACATTAAAGTTGATACATCATTAACATACCTGCCAACCTTCCCGAATAATCCAGAATATCCCTTTTTTTTTTAATTTTTAGGACCCCAAAATGCGGGATATCCCGGATTTTCAAAATTTCAATTTTTTTTTTTTTTTTTTTTTTTTTTATGGTACTTAAGCCAAATTAGGCTTGTTTTATCATATGCCGCGATGTGAGAGTTCACGTATTGCGTGCGTTGAAGGGCTGCATGATTGAGCAGCGAATTTGTATTCGCTTTTTTGCACAGATTTACCGCGTATTGCCAGTTACACTGCCGCTGCATGTGCGAACGCCTGTTACGGGTACAGATTTCTTATTTTCGAAGACATACCGTGCTAAAAATTCTTAATTCTCATTTTCAAATGTTGGCAAGTATGCATCAATGGTGAGACCTTTTGACAGACACATTCCATTTTGCCAAGTATCACATTTGCCAACCAAATACTATCTCAGGTGCACTAATAATTCTGTTTTTCCTGTAAGATGAGTAACCTATGACTGTGGATTAACTTGTTTGATTTCAGGTTGCCTCCTCCTAGGCCATGGACAGGAGCTTTGGCCCCCAACAACAAACTCCAGAAAGCTCAGAAGCTCCTAGAAGGCAGAATCATTGGACCCGAATCATTGGCTTACAAAAATGGTAAATTTAAATAAACATACGTAAAGTTAGAATTTTCCTCAGGTTAAAAAATAATGATAATGGCATGCATATTCTGAATGCTTCATAGAGGTGTAGCAGTCAAAATGCACCCCTCCCCCCCCCCCCCAGATTGTGTTTGATTTCTAAAGCTGCTTTACTAGTTCAGATTATGCAAATGCAACAAGACAAGCTATCAGTGCCCTAATTTAACTATCAAATGAAAGAGGAGCGACCAGGCTTCATGACATACTTTGGGTGTCTTCAAAATGTATTTGGTGAAAATACTCAAAATAGTGCTATTGTAAGGCAAAAATTTGAAAATGAACAAAATGTTCAGGTAGGAAAGTTTCATGTTTAACCTCATATCCCAGAGATTGAGTCTTGTTAGAGTGAAAGTGCACAAATTTTTTAAAAGTATTCTACCAGTACACCCTCCTTGGAATATCTCTTCTGAATTATGCTGGTAGTATAGAGCTTGATAAATTTAATATGTTTGTCATTGCAGCTGTTTTTTGGTATAATGTGCTGGTAGTTTTTGTTTAAATATAAAAGTAATAGAGAGAAACATTATTCTTTCTCTATGAATAATTTGTATGTGATATATTTTATGAATTCATGTACATGTATATCCTGTTTGTATTGCAAATGTGCCTTGACCGTTTCATCTTTAAATGGATTTGGCACTGGATAAATCTTATATGATTTAACAAATTTGCAGAGAGAGAAAGAGAGAGAGGGAGAGAAGGGGGAGGGGGTAAAGGGTATTATGTCTTTAAATTGTTTGCTGTGTATCTAATATTAACCATTGATCTTTTTTGGATAACGTGCAACTTTTTTTTTCATCCATCCCTTATAAACATACAGTAATCTATTCATAGATTTTGCCCCCTTAGTTGATAGTGTTGAAGAGTTTTGTTACAAAATATTCAACTGTCTTAGCTACGAATGACTTTGTTTCACATTATGTTTCCATGAGGTTTATTTTTTGTCATCTTTCTTCCTACTTATAGGCCGCATTTATACAGGTACCTATGATGGTAAAGTCGTAGAGATTAGCAATGAGAAAGACATCAAAGTTATCGCACAACTCGGTACTCCTCCATGTGGTAAGTTTACTCAATCTCTTTTTTGAGGACCTTATATTCCTGGGTAAATGATTTTGGAAAAGGATTTAGGAATGCACAATAGGATCAAATTATCTTAAACAAAGTATACATAGCCACGCCTCAGAAATATATGACATCTGAAACACATTCTCAAAACATCATATGGGCCAGTAGTTACAGACAAAACCTTCTAAAAAGATATTCTCTAAGAAGTGCATTATTATTTAAATGTTATATGTATTTTCATTACAAAAATATATACCTCTGTGTGTGGTAAATAGTATAGCCTGTATAGGTCGATGGACTTTGAATTAAAAAAGAAGAGCACTTCTTTATATTAGTAAGTTTTGAAGATGCAATAAGAATATCTGGTTCACTACCAGTACATATATTAATGACCTTTGAAGGTTAAAGGTTTAAGGACATTCTTTAACAGGGAGTATAAAAGATTAAATTGGAATTTCTGGTTTCCTTACCAGTAGATATGAAGTATTCTTAGATAGCATATCCAATATCCCTTCTGAAGAGATTTCCATTCATTGTCATAATAATTGAGGTTGATAAGGTTGATGAAGAAATAACAAAAAGTAAATAAATAAATAAACTTCAGGTGGGTATTTCTCTTGTTAAAGGGCTCTGAAGTCCAAACCATGATGAAAATAGACAGAGTTATGTTAGACTTGTCAAAATCAAATCAAGTTTTGCCGTCAGGGATAATCTGCAGATGATGTGATTTCCCTCAAAGAACATACGAGCATTTGATTTACTTCTTATAGGGATCTGGTTAGTGCATAAGAAACCGTGGAAGACTTTGGAGGAAAAAGGGCACCTTGGGTATATTCTCCCTGACGAAGGTTTCCTACAGGTGTTCTTAATCTGTCAATGTTCAATTGAAATGTGCAAAAAATTCATTGATCTTTCCAAATCACCACTGGGATGCCACTACAACGTAATATTTCACTTACTACATACCTGTACATGGATTAACAAATTCTTTCTGAGAATCCTGTTCCTTTGTATGTCAGTATGTAAAACTTGTAAGTTTAGTTGAATGTTGTTGACCTGGAATCTTTGTTGTGTTTTCTCAGGCACCAGAGAAGACGAGATGAAATGTGGTCGTCCGCTTGGAATCAGGTTCATCGATGATAAACTCTACATGATGGATGCTTACTATGGGCTATTTGAAGTCGATGTGAAAGGAGGTAGGTTTCATTTTTGTAAAACACGGTTTAAAATAATTTGTTAAGAATATCTACCAACCTTTAATTTTTATTGAGTGATTCAGAAGTGGTAATCATGAAGTGTAGTAGTTATAATACATGTATTAGTGATTATTTTCAGTTTCAATGTATTTTTAAAACATCTACCAAGCTACAATTTGTATTTAGTGATTAAGAAGTAGCGCTATAAGCTTTGAACATGCAGAGAAGAAACAATCGAAATGTTTATGTATAACTGGGACATGGGATATGGGATCTATAACTGGGATAAATTTATATCCAAAGACTAAAAAAGAAGATAACAAGTAAACCCCCGCAACCCCAACAAAAACTTTGCTTTACAATTTTCTCTTTAAATTTTAATAAAAGAGCAAACATTTAACTTGACCGTACTTACCAGTAAAACATTTTTCTGAAATTTTACTGGCCCGGGGCCGACGGGCCAGGGGTAGTGTTGAGTTTTCGTGAGAATCTGATTTTTCTCTCCAAAATCTTTTTTTTATGTGCCAAGAGGTTGGCATCTCCGGTGTCACAGGCACTCTAATAAATCACAGTCTCCTCAACCTTATAGATAAAACTAGAGTCATGTAAGACAGTGTATTATTCTTTTCACAGAATCCCTTCCCATTGAACTGATTTCAACTCAGAGGAGTTACAAGGGACATCAGATGAGATTCGGCAATGATTTTGAAAGACTAGAAAATGGAGATTTTATCTTCACCGATTCTAGCTACCGCAAGTACCGCAAGGACTATGCGATGCTTACTTTGGAAAGCAAAGATTGTGGAAGGTGAGTATGTCAGGATAAAGATTCCAGGTTTATTATGTGCTTCCCTGGAATCCCTTGGTTATTTCTAGCAATATAACCTTCCGTAAAAATCCTTCTTTTTTTCCGTTTAAGATAAAAGCATAATCCCCTTTAAATAGTTTTGGTAATAATTCAGAAATGACAGTACCAATGTGCTTGAATATTTCATTCGCAATCTTAATCTTTAAAAGTGTAGAAATATACAGATTCTGGTTGAGATCATGCAGATATATATTACTATTGATGTCTTAGTGCAAGTATTCAGAGTAGAATCATGATGTTTCTGCTCCATATACCAGAAAATGGATAAGTGACACATGAAAGTGCTGCAGAATATTGGTAAACAATTTGAATACCTTGAATACAACACTCCTCTTTACACAAGAGATCGTTAAAAAAAAAGTACTGAATGTCAATGACTTCTAAGCAATATCTGTGCAGGTGATGCAATCGGTCTGGTTCAGAAAACATGATGATTACATGCTAAGATTTGTGGATTACTGGATTAAGGGCATTTTTTAAATATTTTTTTTTAAACTTCACTAGGTGTAAATAGTGTGAACAACAAACAAGCTATATTTGAAGATCTGGTTACCAGCAAGTGACTATTGCCACATTTGTCTATACTTCTATCATCCTCTAACACTGTTGTGTCATGTATCAAGCAGTGTATGGAAATTGGTTAACAATCAAAAACACATTTTTCTCCCATTAGGCTGATATGGTTCAATCCTGTGAGCAAAATGAGTGACCTGTCAATGGATAAATTACACTTTCCCAATGGAGTCCAACTCTCACCTAAGAAAGACTTTCTCCTCATTGCAGAAACATCAAGATACCAAATATTAAAGTAAGTGAATAAAGAAAGTTCTTTCGCATCATGTTGTGTAGTTATTGCTTGTGCAACTATAACCTTTATGAAGGCCTTTTCACATGTGTTTTGGTATACAGTATACTGAAGTTCACATTATACAATCTTATAACAAACAGATCAGTAAATATGGATAAGACCATTGTTGCATGCAGCTACATGTTTCATCCCTACTTAGTATCGATTCACAACATCGCGTGCATCCAGTATAATTATCTACTCAGTAAATGACCAATCAGATTGCAGGGATTCTTCTGACCATCTTATAATATTCAATGGATGCATTTTATATAATTCTAATAATATTAATGATTTAACAATATTCTGGTTTTATATTGATAGCACTTCACAGATGTATCATTATCCTGGTCATAGGATTCAAACTTGTTTACACATAATCAGTCTTTCAAATGCAACAGTTGTAATGTATTTCAATTTCACAATGTAGGTTATTCAGACAATTTGCTTGAACTTTGGAAATCAAAAATTGTTTTGACTTTTTGCGTCAATATGTGTAGAACAGTTAACAATACTTATCATGATAATTAATTATGTAGGTATTACTTGACGGGGCCTAAGACTGGATCAACAGAAGTCTTCATTGATAACCTACCAGGGATGCCTGACAACATTAGACCCAGTCGTGATGGAGGATACTGGGTTGGTATGGCTTTTGCTAACGGCAGGAGAGGACTTCTAACCATGGACCTCATTGCCCCATATCCTTGGCTTAAGCGCTTCGTAGCAAAGGTAGGTTTGATAAGAAGTGCTGAATTCTATATCAGTATCCACATTTTTCCATAGATTGTTATGGTAAATTTTATTGAACAGTTCAGGTCACTGTGAGGCTTCCATTCAAATAAAAAGGCCCAATCTTGCAAAATACTCTACAAGTTTAATTTGTTAATCATGATGAAATACTCTTCCTAATGACGGAATGTCTCGCTTTCTTTCACAGATCATCGATCCTGTTAGGATAATGCAATTCTTGCCTCAGTATGGTCTCATCATAGAGCTGAACCAGAAAGGAGAGATCATCCAGAGTCTACATGACCCCACAGGAGAAATTGCGCCTTCCGTCAGTGAGGTCCTCGATACAGGAGATGCTCTTTATCTGGGCTCCTATCATGCCCCTTATCTACTCAAACTAGATATGTAATGGTATAGTGCATCAATGATTTCATGGTTACATAATACCTTGGTCAGTATGGACCTTGAATATGTTCTACATATGATTTTGTTTTTTAGGTGTCTTTCCCAGTCTTTGACTGTGCTTTGAGAAAAGTAAGAAATCATACAAACATGATGAACCTCTTAGTGCAATCCTTGGCATGAATAGAGTTGTTTACTTTTGTTAATATCTAAATATGATTTGTAAATCCAGGTTGATCAGCTTTAGACTACGTTAATTGTTGCGCTTCACCAGTGATCTACAGTCACACCAGGTTGGTAATCACTTGATATTAAAATCAAGGTAAACGTATGTTTGGTGTTGAATATAGACCTCAAGTGAACTTAGTGAAGATTAGTACTATACATGTATTACCACATTATGGTGAACTGTGACTCGAATTTGTGCCGTTTGTCTAAAAGCAAAATGAGATGGGAACCTTCTAAAGGCTTCATCATTGTTTGTGTAATCGTGTAGGAAATTGAAATTAATTATAGTTTAGCGTTTAGAAAAACCACTGAAATTATGTGTGTGTATGTGGTATAGACCACTTACAAAGTTTCATACTTAGACACAAATATATGTTGATTTTTGTAAGTGCAACGAGTTAATGACTTTGAAAATGGAAACGATGGTTTCATTGTTTTGGTGAGCAAGTTAAGGACCCATTTAGGTATAGATTTTGCAATAACACATTTTTACCCTTTTCATGTCTATATTCTAAGACAGGAGGAGGAATGTCTCTTTTTTAAAAATCCTTTACAGTTGATAATCCTGCATTTATGAATGCACAGTGATATGTCATTGTGATCCATCCCCAGATCCATCATTCCAAAAGTGTCTTCAATATAAGTGGAAATCATCTCATTATATAATTGTTATATAGCAAAGGTGTCTTGTTTTTGTGTATATGCCTAATCTTTCTGAAGTACATGTATTATAATTGAATGGTGTATTGTATTTATTGCAAAGTAAGAAAGAGTTGGGTTACATGTTTAACAAAAGGCGATAATGTGTGCTCGATTTTTTTTCAACAAATATCTGTGGAGAACTTGTACCCCAATGTCAAGTAAAATACCCCAGAATGTAGACCTTTACTTTTTCCCATCCAAAGCTTTGAATATCAAACTAATTGTTCATGACAATTTAACAGGTTCCATCACTTGTAAATTTCTGGAAAATATTTACTGGGAGAGACTTACGACACCAGACTGCACTTACTGGTAATGCAAATCTTTGGATTTAGTTGTGTCACGAACAGTAGGCCAAGTAGGAACATGCAAGATTATTCCTTTCAGCTGTAGTCAGGACCTTCATATAGTCAAGCACATCTTTAATAGCAGAAAGTGCAGCTGTAAGATGCATCATCATTTTCTTCCAGTTGTTGTTGAGAAATTATATTTACAATTCTAATTCAACCAGTCAGGGCCAGAGTGTATTGTGATATGTACTTTCAGAATTGTGATACAATCATCATGTCAATGTACCATGTACATCATAATTTTGTGACAGCAGACGGTTATATTTTGTATAATAGAGCGGGGGGGGGGGGGTGGGGATCTTAGTAGAACTGGTCTTTTTATGTCCCCAATGCCATGTGCCCATTTCCAGTTCCACAACATAATATATATTAAACAAGCCTCAACTGTCTTCCCCATCTTTGTGGCAGAACTATTGTTTTTCCTCTTGATCATACTGTGTGTCCCAATTCTAGAGAATGTAGACCATCTCTGGAAAGGAGTTAAAATTGGAAATTGCCCTTTTTCATTCTACCCCCGACTCTTTCAAAGATTTCATCAGATTGAGCCAAAAACTTACTCAAACTGGAAAAGTTAAACATATAATGGGTGTGCATCATTATAGCTAGTCTTCCTAACATAATTTGATTAAAACAAATATATGCAAGTACTAATAGTTGAGATCAGTCAGTACTGTTTATGATTACCCTTTTATGATGCAATATTTGTGGATTTTCTTCTTTTTTTCTTCTAATATCAGTTTTTAAATGTGCAAGAAAATTTCCTCATGTAATTTGTTACTTGTACAGTGTTGTGTTTGATGTTCATGAAATGAATGAATATTAAGGGAATATAGCAAAAGAGTTCTGAATATATATAAGCTAAAACATTTGATTTTACGTTTTACTGATACATGCTATTGTTTTATTACAACACAAGATACATGTAAAAGACTATAAGTCTTTCTTATAACATTAATTTTTTAATCCATGGATCATGATGTTATCAAATGTCTGATAAATAAAACAATTTCAAGATAAACAGAGAAACCATTATTTGTTTCTGTCTTTTCATAAAGTTTACCAGGATATTGGGCACTAATACCTGTACTTAGTATTATATTATGATATATCTGTCTCAAAAAGCAGACATAATGTTCTTTGAAAACAATTACCTGTATTTTTTTTTTAAACAGAACCCTCAATGCTCTGAAAGGATGCCTGTGGGTGTTATTACCCATCTAACAGTCTTATTTGTTGCCCCCCCCCCCTCCCACTTTTTTCTTCAATTGAATGGGAGGGGCAGCATTTGATTCATGGCAAAGCATTTCCACTGAAAAACGATTTGGGCCTCTTACATTTTTATCCCTCATAAGTTAAAGAGTAAAATACATATTGTAGATGTACAATAACCTATTTAATAACAACATAGTTAAGAAAATATGGGCATGCTTCTAATGTTAAATATCCTTTGGAATCCACAAACAAACCAGAGATTAATTAAAATTCCTGAAAGAACTTTTTTCACTCACAGCATTTACAATGTTAATTACAGGGAGCTGAAAAGATGAGCATTAACATGAATTGTTGATAAATCTGAAGGAAAAGGCAATGTATAGAAATATGGGGGAGGGGATCCACCATATTCTACAAGGAGGGGGAAACTTAAGCCAAAGTGAACCATGAATTACTCTAGATATTCATAAAATGTATCAAACTGGGGAATTGAGGTAAACAATATGAACATTAAAGACACAACAATAACATGAAAATGCTCTCCGAAAGAGAGCTGGTCTTGATATAAATTCATTCCAGATGACGTCTAATCTCTTGCTTGTCTCTGGTTGCTTGATGTGTCATGATACTTTCTGTAAGTCCATGTAGCTGAAGCTCATGTACAAGCTGAGATTGTAGACAAACTTCTGCAAGTCTCTATATGCTCAAAGGCTCTCATTGTACATTCTGAATGTCTGACAGGTTCTTGATACAATCGGATGCATTCAACAGTAAGTTAATGGTTTGAAGACGTCTTGCAATCACTTTCACATGGACCTGATCTTTCTATCCTCGATAAATAACACATGTCGGTTCACTGCAGGCAGAAGAATGAGAAATATAGAAATGCATGAACATAACAGTATGTAGTTTTGATAAATGCTAAATAATAAATATTTCATAAAATACTCCCCCCCCCCCCCCCCCCAAAAAAAAAAAAGTAGAAAAGGACAAGATGTATTTTATTGAAACTCGCAAGACCAAGGTTTTGCTATTTCTAAATTAAATCAGTTAAAAATTTATTTTAAAGCTGACTACAGGCATTACAGTACACTGAAATACACAAACAACTTTGGAACTAACAAAAATAATTTTTGGTTACGATCAGGAACGATCTGATATGATTCAAGTGTTCAGAATAATGCACCAGTTCAATAATCTTCAGCAGAACAAAGTGCAGTCGCACCCATGGTCACTCACTTAAGCTTTACAAGCTAAAATGCCGGAAGACATTAAGGAAAAACTCATTCAGCCAGACAATAATAAATGTGTGGAATGGTCTTCCAGGCGATGTTGTGGAGAGTAGTACCACTATGAATTGTTTCAAATTTGGACTTGAGAAATGGTGGAAAGATGCCCCAGATAAATATGATGACAACCCCAACCAAAGGAAACCATGGATAGGAACAACAGTCTAAAGACTGAATAATCCTGGATCAAGTGAGTTATTATTATAGGCTGGAAACGCACAATGAAGGCAAACTACTTTTTATAAAGTGAATACAAAAACAAAATTTTATTAAATTTACTATATCAGGTAGTTTTTTACAAGTGACTTCTTGTAACATCATATACATCAATTTCAATACAAAATAATTGCACAATATTCGAGTTGTGATTTACCCATAAACATGAAATTTGGTTACCGTATATGCAAAACAAAGTGTGTGCATACTGTTTTCTGGGGTTGGAAACAATAAGAAGCCTTGCTGTAACTGTACACATACAGAATAAATGGAGTATTGTGCCTCTGTAAGAAACTAAAAATATACTTGCATAACTTGCCTTTTGGATCAAACTTGACCATCATCATCTTTGGTTTTAATCTGTTTCTGATCATCACTTTACAAGTCCCTGTTCCAGCTGCACTCTTCATCATCACCATCACCCGTCTAGAATAGAAGTGGAAAAATGGGGAATGTACAGTCACATTATTCTTCCATTATACATCAACATGATTAGATTTACAAAAAGGAGTTTATCAATTGGCATATTTTGCAAATTAAAATAATTTGTGACTATTTTCATAAGAGTTAAACTTGGCTGTTTAATTCTTGGGAAATATGTTACTTTGTTCATTTACTATATTTTTCTTCTTATTTTGTCACCTCTTTCCCTTTTCCTAAACCCTCCTCCTTATCACATAACTAAAAAGAATTTTTGACTAAACATTCTCATTCTCAGGGAATAAAAAAAATCAGCACAATTTCAAAATGTGTCCTGTTTCATGTATTCCATGCACTTTATATTATGTATTATTTTTATTGTGATCTTCCTGTTTGATCACCAGTAACATAATTGCATTGTCTGATTATTTCATGAGTTCTCTGTTAAGAAAAAATTGACCACATCAACAAAAATTGTACAAATTTCAAATTCAATATTTAGATAAAAATAAAGCACTCGGTATTCCATTTTAAATAGTACTAATGAATATCCAAATAGTTTTTTTTTTCAATACTTACTTGCTTTTAGCAACTGTGGAGAAGAAAAAAAAGAGAAAAAAATATGAAAGTTATGCAATCATATAGATAATGTCTATTTAATAACTTCACATATAAAAGTCTCATCATAATGGTCTTATAACATGGCATAACAACAGCCTTTAACAGGACATTTCCTATTTAGGGATAACAAAAAATTGTAATAATTTCAAGAAAAAGGAGTTCACTTGGGCATAAATGAATCATAAAGTACTTACAAATAAATTGAAGGCAGGAAAATTCAAGTTAAATGACAAATGCTATGTTCACCAAAATTTGATTCCCCATGTACCCTTTTCTTTGTCTTCACAGTGGATTCATCAGAGGCAATATGAGAGATATTACCATAACGACATGTAGATTTTTCCACTTTTTCCCCCTTCAAAATCATGCTTTTCACTTGACCTTGTGATGTAATCACATAATTTGCAGGCTTACATTAAGGGACGGTATTAAATACAAGGAAGATAATTTCATATATAATTCAAATCATGCCCTAATTCACATCATTTCTTTTAAAATCAAGTGAATATACTTACACAGAGCAAGTGAAAGAAACATGCTGGAAAAGGAGAAAACTGCACCCCAGATCTGCAACTTTTGATGTATAATCAAATCAGGGCAAGCCTCACTCACGAAGCCTGCCAATATAAACATGAAGGTATATTTTAATATATAACATCTTTAGAGTTTAGTAATTTTTAGTTTTCTTTGGATTGAAGCGGTAAAAATATTTTTTAATTCTTAGGGTTAGACTTCCCATTTTTGGCATTAATTTTTGTAAATCCAATTCTAGTCTACATTTATTTGTTTCTCAATGATTTAATTAAAAAATACACCTGGTAATCATAAAAATAAAGAATACTTTTTCTTGTTTGCTTGACAAACAACTTCCTCCCTGAAGTTGTAAAACTCTGGAATGATCTACCTCAATCAAACGTGGACATCAAATCCAGCACAGTCTTCAAATCTGCAACCCAAATATTAAACCAAATAAAATAGCAGAGTCTAGCCCTAAATTACACAAATTTATACTCTCGTCACGATCACGCCAAGTTATACTTCCATTTATAATTCCTAGCAGACCATTCGGAAGTGATCAACAAAAGGTACAAGATGTACCTTGCCGGTAAAGAAGAGTGCCCATGGCCATGCCCTAGCCCTCATGTGCACTCCAGCAAATCAGAGAGTCAATGCTAATGCGTATTAACCTCTAGCACTGCACTACGTGTTAATAGGCAGCATTTAGATACATGAATAGTCAATACACTCACAACACACAAATGCACACAATCATGCCGATGCGGCTAATCGGCAAGTTTGACAGTAGACTCACAATTTGAATTTTTAAATCATTCTTTCTAACATCAGAAAGTTGAAAAAATTGTTTTTTACTGCTATTTAGGCGTCATCAATTGTCACTAACTAAAGTACCGATTTTGAGTGAAATCAGTTGAGTTTTGTACAGTGGTGTTTCAAATGTTGAGAATCAAAATCACAGCTTTTAAGTTTTAATGCACAGCCAGGATAGTAATGCACCTTTGTGTGCTCGTGTGCTGATTTGGGTTCGGGCCTTATCTACAAACAGTGCCAGGAATTGGATTCCCAGCACAAATCACAGTTTATGGGACCGTTATGTTCAAAGTTGATACTTGGAAATATCAGAGGTGAAAGATCTGTCGCCACTTGAGTATTATTTGGATGAAAACCACATGTTACTCAAATTATATTAAATTATGTAAGCTTTTAGTTAGAAGACCCCATTTAATGACAACTTCCTCTTAAATGATAGAAACTTACACTTTTTGTCGACGGCTTGCGCTTGGATTTCGATGATGGTGATGCACTCCTTGAGAACTACGGAACGCTAATTGGAAAATTAAGAAAATGTATAATGGAAAATAACGATTAAAAAAAAAATAGCTCCCTCATATTAAAGGAATTTCACTCTCAGGTCATACATCCATTAAATAATTAAGTCTTCTTGTATTAACAAAATGATCGTTCTTTGCGTCTAAAAATGATGAATGCACAACTCAATCTGCACAGTGCACTATGTTACACATTTAGCACCTCATAATCATTTTGTGGGACAACAGTGATCGCAATGGCGGACTCAAAGCCACAAGTCAAAGAGGAAAAACCAAAAGCTACTGATGACAAGAAATATGCTATATTTTCCAAAGATTCCATTAAAACGATGGCAGAATCTGCAGGGCATGAAAGACTTTCAGAGGAAACAGCAGCAATTTTAGCAGAAGATGTATGCTATCGTCTCCGAGAAGCAGTCCAGGTTTGTGTTTCAACATTTTCTCTGTTAAACACTAAACAGTCAGCTCAGCGTTATACCATCTTAATTCTGATCTGACTTTGTCTGAGAGAAATGGAAGTGGAATTAAAAACTTTGATGTGGATTTTAACATGTAATCTTGTGTATTTTATGAGTGGTTATGAGGTGGTGAACGTTCAAGGCATTTATTTGTAATTTAATACCAAAATCTTGGTGTAGAAAGTAGGGAGTCTAGCCTAATTTCATTTCTATTTTTATTAATTGAAAGTTAAACATGCTAACAAGTAGATATGTGGCTGAGTTAACTTACATTGATTTACACAACATTTGCTTGTGACGAAATGAATGATGCGCACGCTGCACACCCATTGCAAAAGTGCACTTGTGCTCTAATGCAGCCGTTAAATTAAGATCTAGTTCAGTAAATTCAGGGATTTTATTGTAATTAAATAGTCTTAAATAAATTTGTGAGTGATGTGAAATTGAAACTGAAAAACAACATTTTTTTTAAAACTTGAAATCTTGATCGAATGATTCATCATCATCTTAATAGCGATAGTTTAGTTTGGTCTAGATCTAGACTGAACATTGAAATTATGTTTTAAAAACAAATATATATTTGTTCATGTAATTGTAGGGTGCCCTATGCAGCTAAGGCAAGGCATTGCTGCAACTTGCAGAGAACAAGATACACAACTTCACTCCTTGCTTGCCTGTGTTGAACTGCCTGAGATTATGCATGCTTCCCAGCCTCAGGGATTTATTTTGCATATATATTTACATGTACATTTGTATCACAACTGTAAATATGATATAAATATATATTGAAATAACAGAGCTTGTAATTGAAAGGAGGTACAGTATATTAAATATACATAGATCTGTGTGCACTTAAATGAGCTGCTATGAATATTGAATAAGGACTTAACCAAACACACTGGAAAGAACATATCTAATGAACCATCGGATGAACATGAAAAGAGGAACAAAAGACACTAAAGTTGGGAGAGTGAATATAGCATGAGAGAAGGTAAAGGGAATGGTGATGGTGATGGAAAGCTCTACAGAGTCTACATAATCCTGAAAAATTTTACTTATAATTTTCCACAATTCACTCAATAAAATGCTCAAGTATTGAGGATTGAGCTGTAAAAAAAAAGAGTAGAATCTATAAATTAAAAAAAAGTGTCTTGAACTTGCAATAGTCTGCTTACCAACAGTTTAAACAATCATTATCTTGTAATTTATTTCATTTTTGGGGATCATTTCTGCTGGAGCACTTAATTAGCATTTCTCTTCTTGTCACTATCAGGCGAGTGCTCAGTTCATGAAGCATAGCAAGCGGAAGCGGATGACCTCAGATGATGTTAACAAGGCACTGAGATGGAGTGATGTAGAGGTAGGTAAATACCCCGGGGACCTGTTTCACAAAGCCTTTTTTCAATGACAAATGACAATAATCAGTGACAAATATGCTGATAGCCAATCAGAAGCAAGGGTTTCACTAGCTTATAACAAAAACTGTCATTTGTCACTGATAACAAGTTTTGTGAAATGGGTTCCTGATCTCACCTCATAGGATACTGCATTGTCAAACTGTTTTCTTCTAATGCTGTACAGTGCATAGTAGATTGAAACCCTATTTCTAAGCCTATTCAGAAATTATAATATTTTTCTCTTGCTGCTGTTTCACATAGATTCTAGTGCATAACTACAGGATGGTCCACAATGGATTTAAATATATAACAGCAACAAGTTTGAAAATCAGGTATGGGTTAATATTCATTCCCAACCAAACTTATTTAATGAAATATTAGTCATGAAATGTGGAGCCCTTACGCAAGCTCTGAAGCCCAGCCACTATGGACTGTGCTTTGTATACATCAGCTCATACTCCTTCCACATTGCAATTGTGCTCATTTGAATTTGTAGATTAATTGCTGCCATGCTGGAGGCTCAAAGTAAACCCATGATCTCCTTTGATCCATTCCAGTGTTCAAATCATTAAACTTTGACAACATATTGCTCCTTTTTAGTTTATAATTCCTGCTTATAAGACTTATTTGCCTATTCTCTCTTTCCCTATGAAGCCCATCCATGGTTACGGGTCTAATGAGCCTGCTGTGTTCAGACAGATAAAGGATACCAATCTTTATTTTGTGGAAGATCGAGAGCTGAGTCTGTCTGAGATCGCCATGGATACCAAGATACCAAACAGTGCTGGGAATACTTCCCTCAAAGGTTTGCTAAATTTAGCTTAATCCATTAACATCATCCATCATCTGCACTGAATGTAATTGTAGTAAACATTACAGTTGTATTTTTTTATCCTCAAAAAATACTCTTGTTGAGAACTTGAGAGCTTTGATGTAATATCAACCTGAAGGGTTTTGAACGGCTGGATTACCAAGGGAGACAAAACAAAGCATAAACGAACAAATGAGTGAAATATAGAGAACATTTTGACAGCAGCAATGTATTCACAAACAATAATACTAGATCATCTTACCAAGCCAGCAAATGACTTTTAGCAAGTGACTACTCTAGTACAATTAGCATTTACTCATCTCTATTTCATAAAGTGATTATATTGTTGCCTTCCTCATATTATTTTCCTTTTACTTTCTGCAGCTAATTGGCTAGCGCTTGAAGGTGTTCACAAGACTGTTGTACAATCAAGTGATCCTGGTAAGTTAAACTAAGTGCTAGTGAATTCCAAAACAATCAATTTTATTTTACCAGATTTTATAGTAGATTATTTTCTATCCTATTTGAAAAAATTGTAGTATTAACCTGGACCCTGTTTCTATAAACAACTATGTACATTAGAGAAAGGAGACTGTAAACTTGTGATTGATTAGAGGTCTTGCGATTGATTCGGATCAATCCCAACTCTATATAAGAAAAGGCCCTGTTATCTCTCTCTCTCTCTCTCTCTCTCTCTCTCTCTCTTTCATTCAATTCTTTTTACAGTATGCCTGTATAGTTTTCATGATTTATTATTATTTTGACAACTTTTTGTGAGATTTGTATTCCTTTTTCATCTTAATTTGTGTAGGTCAAGCAGCTGCTGAAGGCATTCAAAAGATTCTTGGAGTTCAAGGTCAAGGTAATAACATTCTCTCAAAATCTGCTTTACCTGAGTGTATGATTCAATGTTTATAATTGTTACACATTGCTATAAAATTTTCCATCAATGCCATAAGTGTTGATCCCTGTTTGACTTTTGGGTGACTTTGTGAAAAAACAGTTGAAATTGGAGGCGTATATGAACCACCAATTCAGAGTTCATTCCAGAATTTATGAGGATTCTGCCTGTGATGTATAGACACAAGCTGCCGTATAATTATGTGCAGGAAGTAGGGTACTTAAAGTTTTGGTATGGGTTCATGAATGTGGTTCAATGAACATTTTAGAAGCATATGCGATTATACAATATTCAATGATCGTTATTGCGGCTGAAATCGAGTCTAAAGTGATGAAATTGTTAATAATAAACTCTTTATGTTGTATAGCACCCTCTCAAGACTGATATTACTGTAGCTTTAAAACAATGTTTTTTTTACTACAATCGACCAATTTGTTATTCCCGCTTGGAAATAATATATCAGAACTGCATAATTTGAGATGGTCATGGTCGCAGCTACCATGGAATGGCCTTAGGCGCTATTTGAAATATATGAAATTTACAGGGTATTGGTATTCGTAAAACAGATAAAAACCAGACAAATCTCTCAAATTGAACCAATACCCTGTGATATGTGTATGAATATGCATTGATGCAGTTAACCTTGCAACACTTATATAATATTGGATGGCTTTGAGTGTGATACAAGAATATGTTGCTTGAGCTATGATAATATTGGACGAGTCAAAGACGAGTCTAATGTTGTCTTAGCGAGAGCAATATATTCTTGTATTACATGAAAACAAAGCCGTACAATATTATTATTATTATTATCTATTTTAGTCTGACTGGCGAAATACCAAAATTTGACTTACCTCAGTACATAAATATGGCTTTATTTTTGTGTGATATCGCAATGATATTAATATCGATAGTTGAAGTTCCTGGATGACCGAGCAATACAAAAACAATATTGGTCGGTCATCCGGGTACTGCGCTAAAGATATTGAATACACTAATTTATTGTCCCAATTAGATAATAATGTCTCTTACTGTGTATTTGTTGACTTGCCAGGTATGACCCACAGCATGGAGATGTTATCATCTGATCAGGTTACCTACTATCAGCATATCATCAAGGCTATTCTAGGCACAGATGAGGAGGCTAAAAAGGTAATCAGTATAGATCTCCTATTGTATGGTTGATGTGAGATTTTATGACGTGTGCTCCAATGCCGATTGCCTATGCTAACCAAATTCCTGTCTTTAACCCTGAACTTAACACTGTACCCAACTTTAATTCTAAACCTAAACCTAAACCTAATGTAAAACCTAATGTAAAACCCAATAGCAACCACATTATATGTCGCATGAAGGCTAAATGAATATAGATGCTAAAGCATCCTCTTCTACTTTAATATCTGATGAATGTTGAAAATATAAATGATAAAGAAGAATGTGTGAGATTGTTTTTAAAACAATTCCTTTTTTTTGTCTTTCCTTGATCCATTTCCAGTCAGCATTTCAACTAACATACTTTTGATTGATTTGTTTTTACAGGTGGTGCTGATAGATCTTCAAACAAACAGTAAGATAGCGGGCTTACTCCCTTACCTGGTCAACTTTGTATCAGCCGGTGTGAAGGTAGTCAGTCTAGAGCTCTATCAACTTACAGGGCTTCTCTACATCATTGATGCTCTTTTGAGGAACCAGTTCATCTATCTGGGTCCCTATGTAAGCATATTTTATTCTCTGTTCATTCTCTACTGTATTCTGTTCTATGTGTTGCATCAAATCGTGTACCGTATAGTTACTTTTATGTTTATTAAAAATGTACTTAAACTTGCAACATTTGAGAAGAAGAGAGCCAAACAGCATCTTAAAAGTAGCCTCGTACTAGACACCAGATGGAAAAAAGGAGGACCCAGAAACTACCTGGTGTAGAACTGTAGAGGATGAAATGATAGTGATGAACCTGACCTGGGTAGGTGTCCAGGGAACAGCCCAAAACCAGGAGTGGAAGACCTTTGCTGCTGCTCGACATGACAGGAGGCATAATTGGCATTGACTGACTGACTGACCTAAGATTGCAAGATTTCTTTATAGAAATATGATTCTTGTGCTGCAACAGAATCAAATCTTCAACACACAGAGTACCAGTAAACCATTAGGTGATGGACATGCAAGTGTTATTCATGTGAAATCTTGACATTTTCTAATACAGGATTACAATGTTCTTTTCTATATTATCATCAGATGATCCAGCTAGTATCCACTGTAATGTACTGTATCCTGGAACCCCTAGCCGTCTCCATCAATCCTCTCAACGACCATTGGGGTCTCAGAGACTACGCTGCCAGGTTGCTTCTGCCAATCTTAAGGTCAGTCCAGGTCTCCTTCTTTCCTGGGCCCTGTGTCATAAAACCTATCATCCAATAGTAAGGTATCAATAACAAGTTACAATGGTTGATAAAGGCTGGGAACATTGTATCTGATTGGGAATGAGTACATTCATCATAGATTTAGCTAGGTGTTATTAATTTACAAGTTTTATGAAATGGGGCCCTGGTTTACTATCACTCATTGGCTCAGTTACAATGATGTCTCATACTAGTTGCCTGTTATAATTTAAGGGTAGGAGGGGAACCAAATATCTTGGCTAGGTTGTAAAACAGATGCTCCAGTGACAATTTCTCCATGGTCAATATCATACACAATCTTCTAACTCCAACCTTGCACTTAACACCTAAGTGTCAGACTCTGCCAATTGTATTTTTGTTTTGCTATATCTTCTTTTATCATTATCAGTGGGATCTACTCAATATCTCGGGCAATAGATTGGAAATGAAACTGTTTTCATGTTTCTTATCGAAACAAATTAAATCTAGCGTTTTATGTACAAGTTTTACAGGGATTTTTTTTGTCTGTGTGTAAATACATTGATAAAGTGATTGCACACCTTTGCTTTTATCCTCTCCAGTCCTATGTTTCTTAGTAATGTATACAAATTTTTTCCCTCCCTTTGCCTGGTAATTTTTAGATGTTCCAAGGAATCTAAGAGTAAGTTCTATCATCAAATGTTGACGGCATTTCAGGAAGTAATGAAGGACCCTGCCAGACCTCTTTGTACATACTACGGAGCTGTCATGGGACTCATAGCACTAGGTCCACAGGTACGCCATCTATCTACTACCTGTTCTCACATTGAATTGTCATAAATCTAAAATTCTTTTTCCCCAGTATAATCCATGTCATGTTTCATAATATATAGTTACACGCTTTGATATTATATCCCAAATATCATGTAAAGATTAAGTCTGAATAAAAAAACAGGTGTTGATTTTCAGGTAAAATACAGAATGAATTTCAATACCAGGATCCCCTTGTCTCATCCATACCCTTCACTATTTTCCTCATTAAATACTGCATTGTCTCATTACTGCATTTGTTTGAATATCAGTGTTTGATATGGTACTAGAAACGGCAAGATAATCATTTCTTCACAAACTTCATTTTTTATGTAGTGAATTACAAGGAAATATTGAATGAATTTGAATAAGCATTTGATGCACCTATTAACTTTGTTGTGATTGTGTACCTGTGTGTAGTTCAAATACTCTCATGTATTATCAGTAGCATTGAAATGGAAGTATTCCCAATTCTGTATGGATGTTCCCTTGTAGGCTGTTGAGGATGTGTTATGTCCAAGGCTATCCAGTTACTGGCCGACCCTTCAACAGGTTCTAGAAGATACATCCATTACAAGGGTCAAGGAAGACGGTCATAAGGTTCATGGAGCTCTCTTAGTAAGTCTTTTTTAGTCTCACATACTTTAAATCTTTACCACAAACAGGAATTCAAGAGTGGATAAGAATATATTTAAAAGCAAAATCTGATTATTTTTTCTTCCAGCTATAGAGATACTTAAAATACAAAATACCCGTATTCCTAGTTTTCCGTAAGAGATTCCTAGTATTGCAGTGGAAGGCTGGCATATATGCTAAAACCGTATGATGTTTCATAAATCACAACATTTGAATATGACATGACATAGAAAAACAACAGTTTGTAGCATAATATGAAACATAGTGAAAGAAATCACTTTATTTCAATACAGGCTAAATATAGCATAGATGAGGACTTTTTGTTGCCAAAAGCTGGCCATAGAAAACACATGAGGTCAAGGGCAGTGAATGTTGTTTATTACTTTTCGCTTCACCTGTCATTTTAATTCAAGTGAATGTGAAATGTTCTTTTCAGGGAGATGGGTTGGATTAACGTATGAGTGGTAGATGCAATTAAACTGTAATTTGCTTTCAAACCCTTGCCCGTTTGCCTTACAGACAGCAGCTGAAACTCTTCTAAGGCACAAGTTTCATAAAGGAGAGAAAGACATTGATCCACCGAGCCAGACAAGTTCTCCATGTGATAGCCCAAGGAACATGCCCGAGTTTGCCTTTGGCACTGCTAGCTACGTGACTCAACTGAGTGCCGCCTCTGGGAATCTCAACCCACACCTCAAGGAGAAACCTCCCAGGAAACACAATAACTTCATAGAGCTGTACTCTGAGTTGTATTCCTATTTCGGAGATAGTCTAAGTGTGAGACTTGGAATTGAAAGTGATTCCCTTCAGGTTTTGGAAAAGTTGGACAAACATATGGAGCATACGGCGAGCCTGCAAGACTTGGTGAATGAACGAGTTACCTTTGATGGAACCATGTTTAGACAGCATCGTGTTAAGAATGCTGGTAAAGTGCTTCCTATACCATCCAAACCAAGGACTTCTAATCCTGAGCTTCCAAAGACAAGTGGGAAGCTTCCAAGCAAATCACCGGGTCAAAAGTTACAGACCTCAAGGACAAGACATGGCAAAATGAGCAAGCGATTCCGATCAAGGTCTGGGGGTTGAGAGATGTCTTTCAGATTATGAAACCTGTGAAACCTTTGACTAAGAAGACTCCGACTATTCAGTTGGAGAGTAAAGTTTGGCAGGTCAATCTTAAGATGCCTCCTGTTGGTAAGAGAAAGAAAATGTTCAAGAAAGTTGGAATGCCACCTAATAGGAACCTACCTAGCATTCATGCTATCTTGTGATCAGTGATCTCAATGGAACAACTGTCATCCTTCCAGTGACACCCACTTTTTTAATGACAATAATCAAGTGCCAAGTAGTTGCAATACTTTGAGATTTTTTTTCTCACGTTCTTTACCTTTCAGAGGCTAGAAATTAGTTTTGGATGTTGATGATGCTCCATGATTTTGTCATCTTAAGGTGCATTTGTAGATTGTAGATGAGTTAGAATCATGTACAGTATAATTTGTATGCATTCAATCTGATCAGGATTTACATGTATTCTCAGTTTCAGTTTCATGTAAATTTAAGGGCATCTGCACTGTTGGGAAAAGCTATTGGGCAAAAACTAGATTTGAGATGAATTTTTTAATAATTTGAATACCTTTAAAAGATGATAACCTAGATCCCAGATTTTATACTCTTAAAAAGCTTTTATATTAAGAAGTAAGAAATTTGAATATACCGTAGTTACCGGTATGTAAATTGTAATTGCACATTTTTGTTATCTTGATGATGAATTAGTTCACAATTTGGCATCATTCTTACCCATTAGGACGACTTCAATAAGCCCTTTTTTGATAAATGAACCCCATTGTTGTGATAATGTTTAATTCATCTCCTCAGTCCTTATGCTTCTTATTGTCTTACTTGATATCAACAACATACAGATGGTGCATATTCCCCTGCCCCAAGCCTTTTGCTAACAGATTTAGGAACAGAAATCTTCTGTTTGTCATTTTATTCAGTTTACACTCAACAAATGCGTGGTAATTAAAAAAAGAAAAGGGCATTTCTTTAATTAGATTGTAAATGTCATGAATTTCTTCTATAACTTAGGTACACAACTTTTTCAATATAATTGGCAGTTTCTAATTGACAATTATTATTTTGCAAGGTTGTCTATCTAAGTTATAGATTAATTGAACCTATCCTCATAAAATTACATATGTTTAATTGGTTAGGCCTTTAGTAGAACCAGGTTTTCAAACACCATTCTTGTATTGAAATCAGTTTATTATTGCAGCTGTGTTTAAATTTGCCCAAATCAATGAGAATGCCCCCTTATTTGATTACTCTTCTAAGCATGTCCACCATAGAGTTGACAATTAAAAGAGTCTAGTCTTTGATGTCCTTTTGACTTTTGTGGTTGTTTTATTACTTTTCCTGAAAGTCATGCAAAATGTGCATTCCATTGCTTTTGTTTCAGATGTTCTATCGTGTTCTGAGATCAGCCAATGATGAGAACCCATCGTTTATGTAAAACATTATGATATTGATGATTGCATTTGTAGTGCCTTTTTTTCTCAATATAAAATTCCTATATCCCATTAAATTCAGTCATTTATATGACATGGTGCAAACAAGTGGTACCTAATGGAAGAATAGCAACGAATGGAGAGATATTAAAGATGGGGTGAAATCCAAATATAAGTTGATTCCTGTTGATGTGCAGGGCTGCATACAATTCATACTTTGTTATTCAAACATCTAATTATATTTCATATATTTCTAAATATTTTTCTCAGCCCTGCTAAGCTCCACCCTAAAAAAATGCTCCAGATCTCATTCATCTTGTGACATCATCTGTGCTCGTTATCTTAGTGAAACTATATTCAGTGAAACTGAGTTAACCTAATAAATGATATTTCATGAATATGTGGACTAAATCACCCACTTGTAATGCATTGAGTTAGTTCATAACGGTAGTACATTAATAGGCCAGTTTTAGTTAGCTTTGGTACATATGAGTATATGACCCACAAATATTCTCAGATCTTTTACATATTATATGGAGATGTCCCAGTATAAGCATTTGAAAATAATCACTCTGCCAAAGTCATGGAGGTGATTCATGAATACCTTTCGTTTGCCCTACTTCCAACTGTGCACCAGAGAATGTACAGTCGGTGAATAAATGAATAATGATTACATAACTTTCATGAGCACAAATCCAGTATTTGTCTTGATGGGCTTTACAACTTTGGTACAAATACCGGCTGTATCTTCCCACGGATCTACAAACTGGCTTGTAGAGAGATATATGTGAATGACGAGAGATTTGCAAAGCAGTTATCTGCTGTTTAAGCAATGAACAGTGTGTGTGTGTGTGTGTGTGTGTGTGTGTGTGTGTGTGAGAGAGAGAGAGAGGGGGTGGGGGAGAGAGACGGATGGAGAGAACATGACACCAAATTATTAAAGATGAATTATAAAACTAATTTACTTGGTATCAACTTTTGAAAATAACCCCTCTGAGGGAGGGGGGGGTTCACAAAGACTAAGATCTACTTTAAGTTGGACTTAACTATGGCAGGCCATTCATGCCACTAGTTGCTCTCACCATTGGTCTCTCAATTATGATTTTTAGATAATATTTTTTCCTTCAAATATAAACTATCAAACCACCCAGTGCCAGTGTGCAGTTCCTTTGCTCTATCTCGTCGGCAACGCAAGCGAGGCGCTAGCGCGATATCTCCGAACCCCCATTATTCACGCCCTCTGCGTTGGGGGGAGGGGAAATATCAAAATGCCTACGACTCGAAGCAGACGTGGATCACAGTTGGTGTGTTTGTTTTTATGCTTTTCCGGTGTTTTCTTCGGTTCCTTGTAGAGTTTCGTTGTTTTGGAGAATCACAACCATGTAAGCATTCATGAAAACACCATTTTATAATCATTTTCGTGGGTGATGTATGAGAAAAGAATGAAAACATGACCAGCTGGCGGGCGTATCCCGGCGGAGTGACCACGAATGAATGAGTGAACGAAATGTCAACTGCAAATTGCATGCATTCTGTGTGTAATGTATTTAATTGTGAGAGAATGAGTGCGAGTGAGTCAGATTTAATTGGGTTTTTATTATTATAACTTACGTGGGTAATCCAACCTAAATTTCATTATTTTGTGGAGAAATAAGAAAAACCGGAATGGTGAAATTTTGAATTAAATCACACAAACAATAAGAAAGTAACGACATTTTTTAGTCATTTTTTGGGCGCTAGTTGAGTAGATCTAGACCTGTTAGTTCGGGGGCCGTTTCTCGAAACCAACTCCATGCATGACAGTCATATCTTTGTCGCCGACCTACGGAGATGTCATGAAGTGGATAAACCGTTTCACAAAGCCATGACACACATGATATTGATATATCGCGATACTAGCAGCTCAAGAACATAGTCTTTGTCACGATCCATTTGATTTACGGCAAAACAAGTTTTGGGGCTAAAATTGTTCAAAAAGAAATATATGCATTTAAATTCTCCTTAAATAAATAATAAATAGTGTCATTATCAAATGTAGATCATCAAACAATTTGCATATTTCTGTAAAGATTCTTAAATTGAAGAAAAACCGGTGAGTGTTTTTTTTTTGACAGTCGAATCAAAAGTTAGTTGAAGGATACCGTAATGTGATAGTTTATCAATGCATACTTTTTTGTTTATTGTGACGAGGAATTTTAGGCAAAATACCTTTTCTCAGACAGTTTTTATTCTAGAGTCTTATAAATACTCGTTATATAATTGATTTGATATTGAAAATATAATTTGGAAGAAGTAATTAGAGAGGGAATAATAATGCACATAGGCCCCAAAGGTATGATGATATCCTAAGAAAAGACTATGGATCGACTATAGAAAACGGTGTGTAACATTCTTTTCTCTTTTATTTATATGTTATAGTTTAACGATTTGTGATTTAATTTTTATATTATGCTTTTTAAAATTTCTGTATAATTTGTATTATCACTTCTTTACATTTGCATTTTGCATCCCAGAATATTACGTACCGAACTCGTCTATATTTTTCTCAAAATGTTAGTGAAACTAATCGTACATTTCGCGGCCCATGGAATAGCAACAAACTGACTTGTGATGGCGCTTTACAGCAATTAAAAAGATATGACAGGTTCGGAGCAGTGACAACTCATTGTCACAAAAGTTGTTGCTCATCTTGGCAAAGACGGCTTTGTGAAACACTTAGCTGACAAGTTGCGTGACAGTGGCGAGATGTCGTTGATCTTGTAATTATGACGGTTTCGAGAAACGGCCCCCAGAAGTCTATCAAAAATTTGACCCGTAACTCTGGCGTGGAGATACCCTACTAAAACATACCCAAAATGAAGTAAATATTTCATGTCCAAAGTGTCAGGACAGTTACAAAAACTAAGCTCTGTACACTCCAGCAAAGCATAGAGAGACGGCAATTGTCCACAAAAATAGTCAATACACTTATTGCACACTAATGCACACAATGAAGACGATGTGGCAGATCAGCAAGTTTGACAGTAGACTTACAATTTGAATTTTTAAATTATTCTTTCTAACATCTGTAAGTTGAAAAATTGTATTTTACTGCTATTTATGTGTCATTTTAGATTTTACCGATTGTGAGTGAAGTCATTTGAGTTTTGTACAGTGGTGTTTGAAATTTTGAGAATCAATAGCACAGCTTTTAATAAACAGCCAGGATGGCAATGCAGCCATGTGTGGCTCAGTATGGTGTGTGAATAATCGATAGGATCTTAACACCACCACCAATGGTAAACTTAAATGATGGACTATTGCAATTCAAATATGAACCTTCAAATGTTGATTGGACTCCCGTCAAACAAATCATATTCATAACTTGTTTATTTCTATGTACATATACATGTTTATTATCAAATTTGTATAATTTGATCATATGAATAAATTGGAATAAAAGTTTAAAAGACCATGGATTGCAAGGGGTTGCTGATTTGCATACCTGTAAAATCTAAATTCTAACCTGTCGCTATTACTTATTTAATCCCTTGTGGACCACCCTAACCCAAATACATGTAAACATGTGAATGAAATACTGATTTCTATTCTTCAGGATATAACAGCACTTTTACTACATGTATTTTACCTATGTTTCCTCTCTAGTGTTTAAAAGATGGCGACATCTGGAAATGGGACCTTCATACCAATGGTATCGGCTTCACCACCTCCGATGGATGATGTTGCGTTTGACTTTGATGACGATGATGATGAATTCAGTAATTTCTCCAGCGCACCCATAGGTCTAGACTCTCCTCCAGGCAAGTGGGTTGGTACAAAGAAAGGGTCCTTTGAGCCCATCAGATCTGATCCAACAGATCCCTTCCATCCAACCGATGACTCTCATCCGTCCAACAATGATGATGACTTTGAAGCATTTGCAGCCTTCGGCTCATCCAGCTCCAGTCACGATAAGCAGAACAGTAATGATAGGCTTGTAACGAATAACAATATTAGAGGACACTCTATGAATGGCAATGAGAGTAATGAGGAAGACGAGTTTGCAGATTTTGCAGCTTTTGAGAGTAACCCTGTAGGAGAATCCAATAAGAACGACGGGTCATATTTAGACAATGGTAGGCAAAGTGAAGTTTCATCATCCGTTGTACTCAATAAGAACAACTCTCATGAAAATTGTGAATCACATAATGCACATTATCCTCAGAGTATAGAAAAGCATGACAAAGATTTGGATAAAGCTCCTGATAAAGCTCTCCACTCAGATGACAGTACTCATCCCCATTCTGAAATGCCACACGCAGGAACCAAGGCAGTGTATCAGAATGAAGGTGGCATGCTTTCAGACATTCAGTCAAGAATTCCTTCTCAGTCTTCTCTAGATTACCCAGAACCATCCCATAAACACAACAACACTATGGGAGATAATGATGAGAGCGAGGTTACAAGGAGAGAAAGTGACTCTTCAGCTGCTCATTTAGAGAAGCCATCAACAGGATCTCTCAGTCTCATCAAAGAAAGCGACAGACAAACTTTTGATTCTGGGATTGACAGTATCATGACACCCTCAGACTCTAGTCCCGAAGGCAAAGATGATTGCTCAGAGAATGTTATCAGTGAAGAGGATTCAAACAGTCGGTCGTCAGATAACGGGCCAAATACAGCAAACGATGATGAATGGGGTGATTTTGATACCTTTTCATCTACAGGTAGTCATACAAAGCACTCGGGTGGGATGGATAGGGCAGAGCCGGCGGACACTGTTAACCCAGTTGCAGAAGACTCGTCCATCAATGACCAAGAAAGTGATGATTTTGGGGAGTTTGGATCAGTAGCAAGAACTCAGCCAACAATTTCAGACAATACAGGGAAAGAGGTGCTTTCAAATTCAGAGAGCTTACACAAATCTGACAGTGGCAATATTACAAATAGTTTGTCAACACCTCAAAATATAACAACAGTGCAATGTGATGATGATGATGATGATTTTGGAGACTTTGGCAATGCTAAGCAAGAAAGCACTGACAGTGCGATTCCATCCAGTAGGCAAGATGATGATGATTTTGATGATTTTGGAGACTTTTCATCAACCAAGAGTACAAGTGAACATGAAATTAGCAAACAATTACAAGACAAAAGTGATGGCGATTGGGGCAAGTCTAGCGGTGACAAAAACCCAGCCCCTGCAGGAGCAGCAGAAGACTTTGGAGAGTTTGGAACATTTGGATCAAATCCTGGTTCTATGTTTGGTTCTACTGAGGACTCAAAAGATGATGATGAGTTTGGAACATTCAGCTCGACTAGTGGATCAGCGCTGGGTCAGGATGATACAAAAAGCTCAAAAAGTGATGATTTTGGATCGTTTGGGAGCAGCAGGACTGTGTCAGGTTCCCTAGACAGCACGACAATCCAGTCAGGAACAGGCAGTGTCTCCTCAAAGGTGAGTCACTCTAAAATCATTGCTTGTTGCTTGTTAACCTTACACAGTCATAATTCATATTGACGTTCGGAGGTGATATAACATCTTCCAAGGGGTCAAGTTGAAAAGGCTGCACGAAGAATTCCTATGGTATTACTCTGTACATACATGTACAGTACACATGTAGTTTACAGTCATATTGATGCTAAATAGATTGTTTAAATGCTTTTATAGCTATTTAACCAGGGACACAAAATAATTCTTTAACATACACTGTGTAAAGGGGCTAAATATCTTGGAGAATGCCTTTCAGGCTTCATGTGTAGTTTCAATTTGTGCCAGTACTGTTACATGAAACATACATTTCATGTTTGGCAAATACAATTTAAAATAATAATAATAATGTTCAGCTTTTATATAGCGCTAATGATACAATGTCTATATAAGCGCTTTACAGATATACTATTACTGTACTAAAGGAAAGGATTTTGCCAAAGTTGGATTACATGTACTGTACATGAACTTGTATGAATCACTTTACCCCCCCCCCCCCCCCCCCCCATACACACCATTCATTCCTACCCATGAATAATGTACCCACAAAATTGATTCCGAAAAGTGAAATTGCAAATGAAATCAGGTACTCAAACAAAAGAAAGAAGGGTTCTTGTCAATGCTATGCCCCAATTAGGCATACTGTACATGTAGTGTACCGGTACTGTACATTTACATGACAGATTGAAGAAAGATACGGTAGCAGCAATTAGTAATGAACAACATCCCTGTGTAAATTTTCATGTATGAGCTCCATGTACATGTAATACTTTATTTTGAGTTGACCCACAATCCCTTCCTGTCTTGTTTTGCCAATGTATTATAATTATCAAATTAATGGATCTGTTGGTTTTTTGTGAGATGGGGGTCTTTTAGAGTATGCTTGTTAACTGATATACTGTATGCGCCAAACATAGTTTCTCATTGTGTTGCATTTTGATCATACAAATTTATCAAAAATTGTCATTGTTAAATATTAGGGACTTAGGGTATTTATTCATTCCCGTATTTGCATGAATGTTCTGGAGAGCATAATAAATGTATATTACATTATATTCTTAATTTGTATTTTGCTGTAAAAACACAAACTTTATGCATCCCCCCCCCCCCCCCCTGTTGTGAACTTACATGTATCTGCAGATTGAAAGGGTTTCTCACAAGGCTTTATAGTTTTCCAAAATGTATGCACAACAACTTGGAAGTCTTCCCATTTTCCAGAGAAGAAAAGATTCAAAATTTGCATATAAACTTGCTCATATATCCTGTCAGTTATGTGTGTGATCTACTGATCTAGGTGCTGTAGTGAAAAGTGCCCTAATTTTTAAAAATCAATAATTTGCATGAAGTACGTGTTATGTAGGTTGCAACAGCTGCTTGATGAATCACATTGAATCTACTTTACAAGTCAACATGTAGTCCTAGTTAACAAATTTCATTTGCAAAATGTGTACCGGTACACTAATAGTTTGCTGGACATACTGTATTATCACCTTTTTGTAAGTTTGTCACAAAATTAATGAATTCAGTCTCAAAATACTGAATAAGTCAAGAAGTGTATGTTTCATTTACTTATGGTACCGGTACTACATTTTTTTGCAACTGTTTCTTGCTGTAAGATTATACATGTACATGTACATCATTCTAGTTTAACTTAATTGAAAGCAATTTAAAATTACTTCTACGTTATTGATTACCATAAATGTTAAATGTTATAATGTCCTGCGGATGTGACATTATTATCCCCTGAAAATCCTTGTGGACAGATAATTAATTTCTGAATTTCTCCCATTCCAATCTCCATCTCAGATGGAAATAATGATTATTGGTTATTCAAATCAGAAGCATCCCTCATCATAAGTAACGAGATCTGTCTCCAAATGACTTCTCTTCTGTTGATTTCATATTCATGGAAGGGGGGATCTCTTCCATCAACTTTTCTAACTTAACATACATGTAGGATATTACGACGGCCTATTTGGTGGGATTGCAGCCAAGCAATCTACCCCTATTTATCATTCATACTCCTAAGATGGATTTCTAGTGCTCGTTTTGATGGGAAAAGAAATCCTCTTTCTGTCGTTTGAGCTGTAGGGGCTTTTCCATAGAGAATAGTAGACCTACTCTACAGATTGCAGCTGCAGTTGAAAGTGCCTGTTATTCAGCCAGATCTGCAGATAGTAGTCAAGTTTAACGCCACCTCCATTTATTGATGGCTCTAAGCGGAGGGTTACACATACACAATCACAACTAATCATCTGCAGAATTTGGATCTTAATTTGCATGCTGATTTTTCTCATCAAAGTTGTCTTCATCAGCAGACGTTGCTTTCAGTTCAAAATTATTGAGAGCTGTAAGTACAGCTTTCTTTCTCTCATCATTTTTGACCATATGTGTAGGTATTTTCATTTTTCATTTATCTTTTTATTTAGCTGTGCATCATAAATATCAAAAAATGTACAATGCTGTACTTTCTAGCATTAAACTAGTTCTCTCAAATGCTTTGTATTCATCTACATGTAGGGGGTGGGGGTGTTTACAGTGTAGATGGCACTTTGCTTAAACTTATGATCCCTGGATGTTAGAAGGACCATAGTTCAGTTGTTTGATGATGATACCATCATGTGTTTTGTTTCAGGTACCTCCTGGTGGAAGGGTGGAGAGGCTCTTCAAATCCTGCTTCCCAGGGTCTGTAGCAGCAGGAACATCAAACAACCAACCAGTGCAAGTCCTACGAGATATTGTGACGGTCAAAGAGCCGGTACCAGCTAAAGCCAAAGCAGACAAAAGGTATTAAACAGCAACACTTTTTGTGTCTGTCTCCTATAGTATGTATACTCTTGCTCAAATGTTCCATACCTGATACAGATGGTTAGGATGCTTGTTGAATGATTCATAGGAATAAGGTTTTAGACTGTATTTTAGGAATTGGTCTCAAAATACAACTTCAAATAATACAACTGTTACAAGAACAGAGTAAGAACAAATATCTTGTTGTGTTTTTATTTTTCTTTCTGTTATTTTTATCCGTTCAGACCTTAAGAGTATGCATAATTATAAAAAATACTTTAACATTACAATATATCTGAAGTCCCAAACTCATGAAGTTATGGACCAATATCATATTATACCTTAATTGAGGTTGCCCTCCATATCATATCCCCTGTACAGACCAAAAACAATGTACAGTATTTCATATGACATACAGGTAGTAGTTAAGTACATGTACACCTACATACATGTATATGATATGAAAAATTACCTTTCTTGATATGAAATTTCATTATATACAAATTATGTAAATTGTGAAGCAAATGAGTATGTGATATTTGAAAGGAAAAAAATCAAATAAGTCAACAGTCAAAGAATTAAGCATAACTCACCATGTGAATAACCATATGCAATTACCCTCTTCCCTTCAAAATCCACATTTCTTTGTTTATTATATAAATATATATATATACCCCATATTTCCCTTTTGATCACTTTAATATGTTTTTCCCTCTGATGTGAAAGGGCCCATAGAGTTGCCGGGCATATGCCAGCTTACTACCAGTATTCTGGATTGATTGATTTGTATTTATTTAGCCTGAGATGCTAAAAAAGCAAGTACACTGTATCCATGTAAACTAAGCCCTGAATGTCCACTCTGTATAGAAGGTGACTGACTGTACCACGATTTTAAACTACCTTCTACTTTGCAGGAATGATATGCAATAAATGAATAAACACCCGATTCAATTTGATATCAGAGAAATTGTAGATAGTAATATTTGTAAGACACTCCTATTTGCACTGTTTCATGAGGTTCCTCATAGAATTTCAAAGAAGATATCAGAACAAAATTTAAAAATTATACCGTAATTAACGGTGTATAAACCGCCCTCATGTTAAAAAAAACCATGCGGGAAGGCCTTTCATTTAACTGTGAAGTGCAGCTGAATGTGTAAGATCATTAATGTAAATTAAAAAACAGTAGAGGACCTAGGATAGAACCTTTTGGTATGCTGTGTAATAGAAGAAAAATTGGAGGAATAATTATTATAAACTACATATTGAGATCTATCAGAAAGATTACTTACAAACCAAGATGACAGACAAATTTGATTGTTGTTCTAGTTTCCGAGTGGTGAGTCAACACATCAATTACTGAGCTGGGAGACATTGCCAGGCATAACGCCAGGTGGAGGGGCATAAATCGAAACTTCAATTTTTTTAAATTTTTTTTTTTGGTGTTCTTGTGTATAAACTGCACCCCCCACTTTGAATTTTTTTCGACGTCAAAAAGGTGCGGTTTATACACCGTTAATTATGGTAGACCTTATCTTCAGAATATCACAGATAGCAGGGTTTTTAAACCAAAAGACCCTTCTTTTTTTATTATTGCGGTCTGGGGAAAATATGCTTAGGGATTTTTAAAGATGCAAAATGAAAACAGTGGTGTAACCTATTGTGATGGCGAGTGAACACCCTGGCATATTCAGCAAGTACAGCTGCAATCCAATTACAGTGTAGCAAATAATTTACATGTACATGTCTGAGCCTGGGGCACTTCTGAGCTCTGATTCGGTTTTGAATCCGAGTTAAATCATCTCTTTGTTCCAAGACCACTGCTCCAACCACATGTTTTAGAGGAGGAATTTCTTTAAATTATACCTTGGGTCTCATTGTTATTGCCAAAGGTATTGAAAGGAATATAGGTTTATAATAGACCTTGATTCACCAGATATTGAGATTTAGCTTGATTTGATAATTTCAACCAGAAAGGAGGAAAACAATAAAAAAGAATCAGGAACGTGATGTTCCGAGATTTCTGATTGCTTGCCTCAGGTGATGAGAGATAATAAGGACAGCAGACAATGTTACGAAAGGGAATCTTCATTTGCAGAAACATGTTTTGATGAGAAGCTCTAGAATGTAGGTGATCAGCTCTAGTGTCCTAGATTACTCTAGAACGAAGGATGGATCTTTTTTTCCCCAGGGACTGTTTTCTGCAAGCAAATGTCATGCTCATTATATACAAGAGGTTTTTCTACATATATACTTGTAGTACATAGAGGCATAATGGTTCAGTTGTGGAGCAGTGTTCTCGTGAACTAATTTGATGTGCCAGTGCCCTTCACTTAAGTAGTGATTTCAGTGACCAAGTCCTTTAGATAGGACTGATCAGCTAAAGGTCCCAATTGTAAAAAGAGGTAAAATTCAAATCACTATAAAAGATTTTAAAACATCATATAAATGTAGGACTCTGGTTTAACAATTAGCTCATTTCTTGCCATTAAAAACCCCTCTGCCTTGGTTAAAATGCCTCAACAGCTCTTCAGAAGTTTTAGAGCATAAATATAGACATACATGTACAAGGGAGGAAATCCTGATCAAGTCTGGCATAGGAAATCGCAACCATGCACCTCTAGTCTTACAGAGACGAATGTCTCACTCAGACAAGGAACAAATTATATGAACAAGTGGGTAGGACAGTTATCATTGTCTGGAGCTGTGTAAGAAGAAGACACACAAGTCCCTGTCATGTTTTTCCTGCATGTTGTATGTTGTTGAATCAGGTTAAGATTATTGCTTTTCTCCATCTTCATGTATTTTCTGTATTCAGCCGTAGCTGGCTGCGTAGTTTGGGGTTTGCATTTCAGGTTCCAAGAATGTTGACCCTTTGTTATTCACATCAGTTTTATTATTTGTTGATTGTATTACATTTTGGCAATAGATGTCTTTGTATAGTTCAGAAATACATCTGTACTATGAAGAATGAAAACGTGTAATTCCACAAAACCTAAATTTGCTAAAAATTGAAAATATCTTGCACAGAAAGATATGATAAAACAATCTTCACACTACCACCCCTAATAAAACCAGGTCATTAAAAAAAATCATGCCAAGGACACACCCCTAGCCTCTAGATTATTCAGTGTTTTACTTCGTAATTCTAACGAGATACCGTTGCAGGTGTATGCACAATCCAGTGCATAATACAATTCTCCAGCTCAAGCTTCTAGTACATGGTTGAGAAAGCTTTCAACATGCGAAGGAGGTACAGTTCTTATGTTAATGTGACTTTGCTGCCATGGGCAATAGATAGAGAGAATTAGATGTGTCTGTGTGGAATGAACAAGGAGGATTTCAAGGGAATAGGCACACATGAATGTTGAATTATTGGAGGAACGATTCTCATATTTCAAATGCAGATTTATAGTTATGAGACAAGCAAGCTGTCACATTTGTATGCGTTCATGTACACGTAAGCAGGCAAGAGGCCCATTCCATTAAAAATTGAATAATGATAGTTATTGTAAGCATCTGAATCTACATTTCTGCATACAATGGACATCTACAACCAGACCTGTAGGAAAATAGGAATGGTAAAAGTTACAATGTTAGGAAAATGGCTACTGCCTGACTACATTTGTTCATCTTAATTATGCCCTGTACTTGTAAACAAATATTCCAAACCAATTTATTCAAACTTACCTACATGAAATAAGAATAAACTACAATATATAAAAACAATTGAATCAAAATCATATCTAGTTTGTTTACCTTATTATATCTCATTGACATGGAGAAAACAAATCTGCAACACCATCATTGTCTTCCTCTTCTTATTATTTTTCTTCTTCTTCTTTCTCTTTTACTCTTCTTCTTTCTCTTTTACTCTTCCTTTTCTTCCTCATTGTATATTTTTTCTCTAGTGTTAAAATATATTGATTTTAATTCTCAAAGTTTGAAAGTCTCATGCCATTTGAAGTCTTATGCCATTTGAAAATAAATGTTTCATGGACTGTGTTGAAATAATGTGCACATTGATAATAATTCTTGGGATCAAAAATAAATTCAGTCATTTTAAATCTTATCTGATTGGCTATGTATCTAAATTGTCACCCTAAATTGGTGAGAATGAAGGGAAAACAAGAGATTTAAAAGAAAGAAGAGGATTGAAGGATGAAAGACATAAATTTTGTATAAGTAATGAAAATGCTTTGTTCTCAGTGTACATGTAACATTGTAAATCATCCAAATATGGCTATCCAACAATAAATCATGTAGGTACGTTGGAATGGAAGTCAATTTAATAATTTAATCGAGTTTTGTTTAGTTTTGTTTGTGTTTTTTTACTTTCTTTATATTGAGCACAAATGTGCTTTGTTATTAAAAAAAGTACTTTGAATGCATCTATACATGTACATGTAGGTATGTTCTCTGAGCCAGTGAAGAAATAAATACATGCCTGCATGGTATCATTATTCATTTTTTTATACGGATTGATGTCCCATTAAAGAGGAGTCGTCAGAAAACTAGAATCCATTTATAAGTGCCATTAGCTACATTACAACCTTTTTCATCTCCCACTATGGCTTCATTTTCTGTCTCCTTTCCCTGGAAATGGATTGTTGAGTGCTATTTAATCCATGTGAAACATAATTTTTGACATTGAGAGTTTGGAGGGGGGGGGCAGGTGAAGCCAAGGAAACCATATTTGATGGAAATGGCATGAAAAAAATACATGAAGTGTATCGATCTCCATTTAGGGATTGAGCGTACATGATGCATGCAAGGAATGCTGGCCTTTACACTGATGCCTGAAGGAAGGAAGGAGTAATATTATACTCAGCAAGATGAAGGAAAGAATGGAAAAATTCTTCAATGTTCTACATCACAGCTTCATTTGAACCTATTCACAGCTCCAGGGAGGTTGAAAATCAGTTTGTGGTCTGACTTTGGATGGTATTTGTTTGTCATCTTCCTCATTTGACCAGTTGTGTATTTTACTCATGATCGAAGGATAACTTGTATTGTTGTAATGTAAATGTTTGTAATGGCTGTACTCAGCATGATTGTTGTTTACATGTATTTCTTTTGAAGATTAAAGTTGATGAAAGACAGATTCAAATTTTCATCTTTGTTAAATTAATGAAGAAAAAGAAAAGGAACAACTTGGGAGATGTAAATGTACATGTTGCTGTTGCTCAAAGTAATCTTGTTCTAGCAATTCTTGCTAATGTGTTCATTTAAATGTAGCTGTATTTCTACTGTGATATTTCATATTTGATGTTTTTTTTCTTCTTTAGCTCTGCTACCAATGGTATGGTTTGGCTTTCACTCAGTGACATGGAGAATACAATGGCTCAGAAATACCACTGGAATGATTCCAAGAACAGTGGAAAACTTCACTTATCTCTCGGCATTGATTCAAGAAATATTGTAAGTATTATTCATTATTCATCAGTAAACTTGTTGCCTATTTGTAGGCCGTATAACATGCCTATATGCACTTGCCGTGACAAAATACCTTCATAATCCAAAAAAATCAAAAGTTTCAAATGTTATCTAAAATATTATTTAATCCTTCCTGAATTCCCATTTAATCTCAACATGTACATTTTCTCCTATTCCACACCTTCGAATATTGTATCTCTATTTTTCAGTGTATCAATAATTATATTCACTCCACATATCGATACTTGGAGACAAAGATGGCTCTGATAAAATGAGTGGGAGGGTGGGTGGGAGGGAGGGAGGGAGGGAGGGAGGGAGGGAGGGAGGGAGGGAGGGAGGGAGGGAGGGAGGGAATGACGGACGAAGGCAGAGACAGAGAGAAGGAGGCAGAGACAGAAAGAGGTGAATAGGGATAGGTGGATAGGGATAGGTGGATAGGGATAGAAGTTGATATAATGAAAATTAAAAGAGAAGGATGAGATTAAAAGAAAGAGAGAAAGAGAGAGAGGGGGAGAGAGCATGATGTTGTCAGAGTTTGTAGGGGGATGTGATAGATTGGAAACTATTACTTGTTGACAAATTGACATCAATGTAAGTCAATGTATTTATTGATTATTTACCATAAGAATTCTATTGCATTATCTGCATACCATTTCATCATCACCTTGATTATCTTGATTCTTGTAATCTGTAAGACTGATATTTTAAATGTACATGTACGTGTACAATGTAGGTATTACTTATACCCAGGCCTTATAATTATTTGATTTAAATCTGTTTCCCGATTATTTCTTTTTCCCTGATTTGTTTTGTCTCAATTTTTTTTCTCCAATAATGGACAGTCCATGAGATCAATGTAAATCTGGTTAAAAATGTGGGGAGTGCCGTATTTCCATGACTTGCCTGAACGTCTTGCGCAAGCGCTCTGATTTATACAACTTTTTTTTAATTTTTTAACTCAACTCTCACTATAACCTTTTTTTTTTTTGTTAACGCTCACTATCACCCCTGCATGTACCTTAAAATTCTGGTTGGAAAAGAAATGTACATGTATGCTTTTAGTTTAACACATAATTCTAGGATTGTAATAGTTTCAGCTTTAATATTACTCAAAAAAATGTGCCATTCAATGGTACAATTAATCAACTTGCTTCTGTACAAGCTTCCTTTTAATAGCTTATCCTTCCCCTACTCATGCTCAAACACACCCTTCTTGGCAGGGAAATCATTTTCACTGCCAGTAATATCTGTAAAGAGAAGAAAATCAATCAATCAATCCATATTTAGCCATGTTGTATTGTCTAATTTGTATTTTGCATATTTTGGTATTAAATATCAAGGAATCTATTGATAAGCTGTGCAATTACCCTTTTATATTAATTGGTAGGTTGTACTGGTTAGGCAATATAGGTCGACTTCTAGGCTTACCTTCATGTAGCTAGGCCTGCATGTACATACATGTGCACGCTAGAGACACAGTTAATATATAGCCAGACTGCATCTCGCTACTCCCTGATGTGACTCAACAGTATTACCTTATTTTGATCACCTGGAAGTCCACTCCAGATGCTTTTCATTGCAGAAAATTGTTGCGCAATGGAGCATTATCACCGTGGTAACAAATTTAATTCTAGCCTCGGAGTAATGTATGCAAAAGCATCCCTAAGACTGAACGATATGAGACACAATGTGAGATATGAGACAAAGGATAATATGTGTTACATGCTGTACATATCCATTGGATATTGGCCTGTATTAACGTAGACACATATCTTTTTATGAAACATCAATTGTCTTCATGCACTATGAGTTCATATTGGGTTGAAAGTGCACAAAGTAAATGATTTTTATACCTCTTTTCCAGGATTTCCCCCAAAGTCTTATTTATTTCTAAAATAAAATAAAATTTGGTCAAATGAATCTGTGTTTCTTGGGTGGGCATCTATCTCATTCAGACTCGTTGGATGATGACTTTATGTCAATTAGTTTGAAAGCATTTGGGCAATAATGTACACGTAGATGATGTACACATGTTGGTGTGGGATATACATGTACTGTATGTTCACCCAGACTAATTAGTCTTTCCATTTACATATTAAGGCTTCACTGTAGTCACCACAAAATTTATCAACATAAATCTAAGTTCACCGGCCAGAACATGTAAACTGCTTGTTCAGAAATAATTTCATCTGTGAGATCAATTGAGTGATTCAGTTGTGAAACTAGATATATCATCATAAATGTCCTTCCTTAATTCTGAGATTTATGAAAACTCTTCATTACCTTTCCTTTCATCTACACTTTACATTGCCATCATAGTCAATGGAAGAAATTGTGCATAAATAAATGTTTCATTAATTTTAAAATCAATTGGAAATTGAATATGTGATACAGCATGACCTTCATGGAAGATCTCGCTAAAGAGTACAGTCTAAAGCAATAATATGCAGTGTACATGTACCAGGCCTACTAATAAACACAGTAAAATCAAATACACCTACAGGTATACATTTTACATGTACCGGTAGGCCTGCATGTATGTACATGTACTACATTGAACAACATGTTGCACTTTTGAACTTCCAGTAAATACTTCTTTTTTTATTGGGGGGGGGGGGGGTCTTCTTTTTATGATTAGAATGAACTTTGATGTCTACAAAGCATTCAATGCAGGCAAGGGATCCTTTTTTTTCCTTCTGTTCTCTGACTCGCCGTCCCTAATACTTACTAAAAATACAGGTAGGCAATAGAGATATATGCAGGCTCTAAGATTAGAATATCTCAACGTCCTTCTTGACCCAATATCATTTGTATGTACAGGATATATCAAACTGTCAAATAATATAGAACCCCTCCTCATTAAATAAATTGGGACAATAAACAAGGCATCATTTTTACTTGGCATTGCCCTTGATTGTACAAATACTAATACGATGTAGAAAGTGTTAGTATTAAAAGAAGATATATTGGTACTACATGTATATACCATATATGCAGGCAGTATCCTAGACCTACACTTGAAAGCTAACATGAAATATCAATTTCTAGTTTGATGCATTGTTCCTGTTTATCAAATGTCAACATGATACGTCCGCACTGCCATGGGTGGGTGGGTGGGTGGGTACTATACAAAGATGCTAGACAGATAAATAGCAATTATTCTTTGTCTCCATATACATGTACATAAACATGTGTAGAACATTGGATGCAGCTCGCTTCAAATGTCCTTGATCATAGAACGATGCAACTTACTGCCTACAGTTAAACATGTATTATAAATCATTGAGCAAACAGCTCATAAACCATCAAGGTCTACATGTACGAACATTTGTCCCCTGGGCTTGGACTTGATATTTCCTTTGGGACAAGAAGTAATATTTGACAACATTTCAAAATTAAATATGTATAAACGTAATCATCCCATTTCTTTTAGTATACCATGCTATAACATTTGTCAAACTAATGAATATATTTAGTTTGATCTCTAGATGCACCTTTACAACCAGTTCAAGGAAAGTTACTTTTGTTCTAAATAAATGATGCATTGCTTTGCCAAGAGGCTCGGTGTTAACCATGGTTGGTTTTTTTAAAAAACATTTTGAAGCTGGTACTATGAGCATACAACATAGATCAATATCACCAATTTAAGATGTGCTTCACCGTGACTGCACTGCATCCATAACTCTTTTGTCCTGAGAGAGAAAGATAGGAAGACAATGAGAGGGGAGAGGGAGAGAGAGGATGGAGAGTTGGAGGGAGACTGAGATATGAGATTTAGAGAGAATGAGGAGAGAAAGAATTCCACTTCATAAGTATACATGTTTAGTATGTATCTTTATATCCAGAAGGATTTTCTTTCATAACGCAATACATTTATTTGACTACTTTTCATAATAATTTACATCCTTTGTTTAGTTAGACAAGGACAATGTAACTCTACATGCACTTAGCCTTTTAGCAAATTTGGATACAATGCCCTTATCTGCATATGGCATTTCGGCACATCTGCCTAAATCATGTAGGTATTCAGACAACTTGAGTTCAGGGTGAAGTTCATTCCATTATCTGATTCGTTTATATACATCCAAAAGCTTTGGTGAGCAAAGAAGGGCAATTTTTATGCTTGGTGTACAATTATGTGCAAATTGTCCCTCAGAGTTGTATAGTGTGTACATTGCACCGCCAAGCCTGCATTGAGATGTAACCCAGTTGTGGATAGGCCCTAGAATATTAGGTAGAAATAGACATTCAATTTCCATTTCTCTATTGGATTGACATTTGAAGATTGTTGGGCCATTGTCTGTGTACATAGAACAAACAAACTGCAGGATACATGTACACTGTACATTGCAGTCTGTATGTAATATCAGATGGATTCTTTTGTAACAAGATATACAGTTTATACATCAGATGGAAAATTAATAAATCATTAAAAATAGTATATTAGTAGTTCTGTTGATATTATGAATTAAGAACAAACAAATTGTAGGGTACATGTACATTGCAGTCTGTATGTAATATCAGTTGGATTATTTTGAAACAAGATATACAGTTTATACATCAGATGGAAATTAATTAAGTCATTCTAAATGGGATAAAAGTAGTTTTGTTGACATTATGAATTAAAAACAAACAAACTGCAGGTAACGTATACATCACAGTTTAAAAGATGAATTGAATTCTTTTGTAATGAGATACAGTTTATACATCAGATGAAAATGAATTAATAATAAAAAAATGGGATATTAGTAGTTTTGTTGACATTATGAATTGAAAATTGCATCAAAATCTTAACTATTACTCAGACTCAAACAGTGTTGACAGAACTATTGCTTTTGTTACATTATCTGGATGAAAATGATATGTAGGGAGTATGTTGTCAGTTGTATAGGTTTATGAATTACGATTGAATATGGATGGCTAGCTATTTATTGTAAAATGGCCACTGAATTTTAGAATAAACAGAATTAATATTAATTTTTATTACATTTCCATTAAACTATTCACTTCATTTTGTCTGGATCTTTTCACTTCAATGATTTCATTGTGTTTTTTGCTGTTCTTCCTGCACTGATATGATTTTAAAATCTTGCTGCTGTTTTCATGTTTTCTGTAGTATTCAGAAGTTTATTTCAGTGTTCAGTGTGTTTGGTTGTATTAAATTATATAACAGTTTTCTTTGTCTGCAACTACAAGCATGTGCAATAAGTATAGATACACAATATTTCTTTGTATGCCAATCAATTATCTTTTTTAAAATTTTGTATTAATTTTGTCTTTTTTTTTTATAAAGAAACACTTGTTAAAAAGACATGAACAGAAATGTAATTTTAGTACATCTGATTCATATCTGATGTATTTATATGCTAGGGATAACTTTTTACTAATTTAACTCAATATTATTCTGTTTTGCTAAATGTGCTTAAATAATAACAACTGATACCAGTGTTTATAGAGGCCTGCTTCTTGAAACGCAGAGAAGAAGAATAGATATTGCATTTATTGGGTTTAAAATTCTTCCCCTTACCCATTTGAAGTAATATTTCTGCTAATGTGTCAATCAAGTTTGATTTGTGGTTGGACCTGGAAATCAGCTCTGTTCTTTTTTATTTAGACTTCCAAATTATAGTAGTTTTTTTTCTGCTTTAGATCCCCTGATAATGTCAAAACTCTTGGATATATCACCACTCATGATAGATCAGTGGAAATTAGCGGATATTGATGCAATAGAAACACATTTACATTTTTATTATCGACAAAGGAATCCTTCTCCATAAATGTTCATGTTTGAGAGCTGTGGATGTACATGTGGGTGGATCTCTTTTGACATCAAGCTAAGGGTGAAATATGGAGATGAATCGCTCTTAAATCAATCAGATATTCTGTCCAGGCGAGATCTTGACAGTTAAAAAACAACTACTTTACCCAGAGGTATTGAGGGGAATATAGATGAGTGGTTAGAATAAGATGTCCAATCATTATGCCTGCTCCTGTGTGTTTGAGATGACTACTGCAGTTGCAAGTACATGTGTGTGTACTTCATGCCCTCCTGCAGGGATCTACATGTATCGTGGAAGAAATTCAAGTGTACTATTGAGTCGAACACGACGAGCTTTCCATATAGGTCTATACATGTAGCTTGATTGTCTCATAGGATCAAAACATAATATATTTTAAACAAAAAACAAATATGAGCCAATAATTTGTATCCTGAAAAGAAAAAAAAAATCAATGTTTTCTTTATTCCCCCTCATTCCCAGCTGGGGAAGGTTACAGTGAAATTGCATAATAAGAAACACTGATTCAAGCCATCTGTGATATGTACACTGAAATATATATGTGAATTAATTACCACAATACTGCTAAATATGTTTCTATTTAATGAATAAGAAATAGAACTTTAGTTATCTACTGAAGATCGATGATGTAAATGGACAGGTCTCAAGTTTTAATTTTAAATTAACAGTTTTGTTTACAAAATTGAAAAAAAGACAAGGATAGCCTGCATGTTCCAAGTACACACTTACCCACTTGAATATTATTAAGCCTCGAAAGGCTCAGATACAACATCTACAATGATGTACACGTCCTGTGCATATATTTCAATAAGGCATGCTTCTAAGGAAAGCAAACTGACAGTATGTCATTTAAAGGTCAAGCCTGTTATTACTCGGCTTATATTTTTCATATACCGCGGTACAACCAGTTTGGGGAAAATCTAGTTTGATGACGGTTTTTAGTAAAAGCAGATTCTTGCTCTATTGAAGATTATTCTTGCAGGTTGTTATTTTGTTGATGTTGTCGCAAAAGAAAATGTGTACAATTTTTATTTATATTTACTAAGGTTTCCTAAGATAAGGTTACTAATACTAATATTGTAGGTTTTCAGTTTTCAATACATATTGAGTGAAAAGAGCATCTTTAATGAAGCGGTAAATGTCTCCAATGCACAGAGACACTACTTTACAAGAGAGAGAGAGAGAGAGAGAGGTCTACAGATGGCATATATATATAATATATATATATACATATATATTTATTTTTTCCCACAATTTTTGAAAAGTTTATTATTTAAAAAGTTGTCAACTAGAAATGTAGATTGGCAAGCTACACGTTTGTCACATGTTTTTTCCACCCCTCCTCCTCCCCCTTCCCCTCACACCTTACAGCTACCACCAGGGCGTGGCGGACGCCCCTTGTTTGCCCAGGAGCTTGGTATGTTGACACCCAGTAAACCTGGTGAGGGCTCCGACAAGATACCCCTAGGTGCTGGAGGAGCTAGTGATGCTGTCAGCAGTGCAGGAGCGGAAGATGCAGGCGTGGCGTCAACCAACTCCTCTGGTACCGAGGTAAGACATGTCTAGCTTCAGGATATCATCACAGTCACAAACACTCCGAAAAGATTACAGCCAGGGGGTCGGGAGCAGCTATCACCATTATAATTACCTGCGTGCATGGTGTGTCTCCATTAGTCTGTGATTTCAAAATGACTCGCTAATTGTGAGCCGTGGAAAGAAGCCTGATACCAAAATAACCTTGATATTAATTTGGATCCAAGGTAATAAGCCTGATCACAAAATAATAATTTAAATTTTACGGTGAGAGTGTAATAAGCTGGCTATTTAATTTCAGCGCTTGGGATACTCCCTCAAGTTATTTCCTCAGGTCGTCTTGTTCTAGTTCATGGTGCATTAGACACACTCTGATTTATTTCTTGTTTACAACATGCACAAGTGCACTGCTGCTGTACTGACATACATTTGAAAATCATGTCTCCTGTACAGCACATGATCAGCTCGGGTTTAATTAAAGTGAGTTCTAGACAAAAAGCTTCAGTGTGTCTGTATTCACTGCTATTCTTAGATTTGTAAAATGAATATTATTCAGGTTAAATATAATCATTGAGAGAATGAATTGAACCATAGAGTATTCTTTTTCCTAGTGTTCTAGTGAACAAAGCTATGATATTCACATGCAGTAAGAATGTACATGTAATGAGAGTATCTAAAATTCATAACGCACACTATGGAAACAGTCACTTGTATTATGAGGCTCATGCATGTACATATTGTATCCCAAACAAATCTCACATTTGATAATCCAACAGTGATTATGAAAATTGGAAGTAGATAAGTAATGAAATCCCTGCTGAAGAGCACACATGGCTATTCATCATATACTAGTAGTTTGTGTTGATAATTAATATCCCTCTCTCTCTCTCTCTCTCTCTCTCTTTCTATCTCTCTTAGGATACTGTCCCCAAAGCCGAGTTTGACTGGAGCAACAGTGGTCTTATTAACCCTTTAGATGGTATGTCATCATTAAACTATTTGATATACACAAAAAAGGGTAAACACATTACCTTAATTAGCATTGGGTGGGTGTGGCCATGTTTGACTGGAGCAACAGTTTGATTAACCTGTTAGTGCTACTATATCCATTATTAATACAATACAACAGAGGGTATAAGGGTGTTTTTTAGTAGGGCCAATTTCTTTCCAGATATGTGAATTCCTGAGGAAATAAAAGCAAGAGGGATCAGATTTGTTTAAAATCAGCATTAATGACATATATATATGTATATATATATATATATGTATATTTTAATTATTCACATTTTAAATATAATATCTACCCACACTTGTTCTTAACATGTTCTTATCTGTTGAAATGTATAAATGAATAATGCCGACATGTAAACATGATTGATCCAGCTGTGGTTGCTTTTCATGTAAAAGGATTTGTACAAACATGTTTTGATATCATTAATAAACTTTATGCCATTTGGAACTATATATAAATCATGTTGGCATCATACAGTGTTGGTTAGGAGACGATAAGAAATTGGATCAAGCCATATTACACTCAAGAAGTTACAATGTAAACTATCTGATTGGCTGCCAAAGTCTACTTGATTTCCATGTTTAATAAGCAAATTGTGTATTGTATGTTAAGCAAAATATGTTGTGGGAGTCACAATTTGCTTATTCAGAGGGCAAATATGAATATGATCTATTCATTCATGACCATAGTGATATCTTGGAATATGGGTTGTGTTTATTATATGAATGGGGTTATACTCTTTCTTCCATGGTTCAAAGTCCCTTCTTTAATTGACGGTCATGATGTTTACTCTAATCATCACCTATCTGTTTGGAGATTGTGGGTTAATTAGCAGGTACAGGTGCACTATGTATGGAATATTATTCATCTGGTAGCACCGTACATGATGCATATGACATGACATATAAATTAGCCTTTAGGAAACATTGCATGACTATCATGGGTGACAGTGATGTGCAGTGCCAGTAATATCATAAACGGTTTATGTTCAAGAAGATTTATGAATTCTGTCAATTTTGCTGACTAGAAAAAAGCTGCCATCAACATATAAAAATGTCTCAGGGTTTTTTTTTATAAACAAAATTCAGTCATTTCAGCTACTCTCTGGTACAGTGTAGATGGAATTATGTAAGTTGGAAATAGGAGCATTGTACACCATGTCATACAAGTGCTTTGGTTTACTAGATGAGAGGTGATCTGATTCAGTTAAATCAAATAAAGATGAGTGTTTATGTAAAACAAAACCATCAGAAAAGGCAAGGACATGATACATTCAATGGATTGTATAGCATAGAATGATATATATTTGGGTATGTCATATTCCGAGTCCAATATAAAGTTGATTTTCTGACACCACAGAAAGAAAAACAAGGTATACATCTGTTATACTACATGCAGGTTGTTTGCATCTATGTTAAGTGCATTGGATCAAACATTAGTGATTAGAGAATAACTAGAAATCTTCAGTTTAGACAGTGATACAAATCAACATCACTTTTCCATCTCCCAATTTTTGCACACATTTGTAGAACTTATATTAAAAAAAACGTTACTAAATGTATGTTAATGAAACATTATGGTATGTGTACATTAATAACATGATTAAGAAAAATAGGTGTAAAAAACAAAAAGAATTCAATTTTGTAAATTGGTAAGTAATTAGGGGGCTCTGAATTTTGTTCAATTATAGTTTTCTTCTTTTCCCTTTTAATTCATTTAGCATGACCTTCCAACTATTCTCCTTTTGATCACTTACATTCCCTTCTCTTATAACCGGTTCTTATTGATACACAACAGCAAACAGCTTAAACCTGGACTTTTTCGCCAATGAGCGAAAGAGCTCGTCTTCTAGACATAAATCTAGATCAGGTAAAACTCCTAACATTGAGAAGACACTCTCCCAAGGATAACTGACCATATTAATTATATAGTTTAGTGTGCATGTTCTTTGATTTCTTAGATTTTAGTTGCTTTTCTTTTTCTTGTTTTGAGTTTGAGTAGATACAGTGTTGTAGTCTTCGTGTTTTTACAGATTTGTGGCTTGCATGTTGTTGCACTCTCATTTTTTGTCAGTACAGTTTGGTTTCAGTTTGATTTTTATACTTTTTCTTCTATTCTCATTTCTCACAGAGTTGCATATATATTATAAACTCACTCTACTTGTGTAGTTTGTAGACACATTATTGTATTCATACTTTATAGTAATTGTGGATTTATTTTTGCATGATTTGCAGTGGGTTTTATGTTGCTCTTATTATTTCTCCACCAGACAATTTTTTTCCTTTCTCTCTTTTGGGAAATAGATGAAGCTGGTGAAACTAAAGGAAATTTAGACAGAAAGATGATTGAAGACAGGATGTATCAGTGAGTGAGAGAGAGAATAAAAGAGAGAGAAAGAAAGACAGAAAGAAAGAGAGAGAGAGAGAGAGAGAGTGAGAGAGAGAGAGTAGTCAGGGAGGGGAGACATTGAAAGACCATATTAACCTTTCATGATATGTAAGAGCTCACTTTGTTCTGTAATCGCCTTCCTAGAAAAATGACTTTCTCTTGAAAGCCTGTAGCATAATCAGTCCCATTTCATGAGCATGTAGTGCTTGCTGTCATGTACAGTGAAAAATCAAGAATTAAGATGCACTCCTTTACCCTGGAATACAAGGTGTTGTACAAAGTCCTAGCAAGGCTGATCGTGCTAAGATATACCTGTGTACTAGTCCTTTCCTTCTTACTCTCTCTCTCCCTCTCTCTCCCTCTATTTATGTAGTGGAATTAGAGGGGCAAGCATAAAACATTGCCTGTCTGCTGAAAGCTAGAGGAGTGTTTAATACCTCTGTGTAGAAATAATTGCATCCTCTTCTGGCTCTCAGCAGATCATATCCAAGTTCAATTCCAAAGAAATACCATGCTGAATGGATACAAAGGCATGTGATCCTAGTAACACTAGTCCCTCTTTTTTTATTTTTCTTCCTTCCTTCAATCCAGATCGCTTGTTTGAATAATAAACCATGAAAATGTACTCTTGAGAAGTGTTATGATATAGTGAATGGGATGAAATTGAATGACACAAATATGGCTTTGCTTTACTTCATACTCTAAAAACAAATCACAAGATACTACATGTATTGCATATTCAAAAGCCACTATCCCTCAAGTTTGCTTTCTCTCAAATTCTACAATGTCTGACTTCATATAGCGACATAGGTTTCAACAAGAGAGGGCACTGTAGTACCAAAAAAAAAAGTAGGTCACACATGCCTAATATTGCTGTAACAAGAATCTATATGTGTATCCGAGCCAGCCCGATTCCATGATATCTCATTTGGAAACAGCCCTATCGGCAGAAGTGTATGGATTTATTTCATTATCTGACACCAGTTGTAGCAAATCAAAAAACTTGATTGTCCAAATTGGAAATTTAACTCCTTACTTTTAGAGCTTAAAGGAAACCTAAGCCCAAAGAATAAGTGTAGGTATTCTGAAAAATGAGATGTATTCCTGCCCTTTGATGTACAATATTCCTTACAAAATTGTACAAGATATATATAAATGAAGATATTCCTGGCATGATGTGATGCCTTTCAGCATGATATGGGTGCAGCCATTTTCTGGAAAATGTGACGTACCTGTTGAAGTTGTACTTGTATCATGCACCAAGCTTTAGTTGGAAAGAATTTTTAAATCGATAATGAAACCTTTACTTTTCAATTTAAAAAAATGATAACTGAGATGATAGAAATTATATTAGGTGAAAAATAAATAATAGGGGCACAATTGTAACAAAATTCATTTATAAATACTTCACCATAGCAGTTGACAAATCTATTTCATTTATGAGAAACCTTCACCCCAGAAGAGCATTAACTTATTTATGCAATTTGCATTCTGGCAATTATAGTACAAAGGATAATAGCAGGTGAATGAAATGCTTCATCACCACACACATCTGGGAAAGAAGCATCCATAAATTTGAATACATTTACTTGATAAACGACTTCGCATAGTACGTCACATTATCAAGAATGTCCTGCTGAGAAACTGTACTTTATTTTTGCTTTATACCTCTCTCATACACTTTGATGGGGAATCTTGTAGATTTATGGGTAATAATATAATAAATCTCTCAGAATAAGTAAATTATTACTTGGGGTTCGGTTTCCTTTAATGACATAGTGAAATGTTAATTATTTTACTTTAGGGGATGATTTAGATGGTGCTATACATGTTGTCATTTTTCAAAAAAACTGGTCAGGGACAAGATTTGACTGTCTGGTTTTGAAATGCAAATACAATTTAGATTTTGTTGTATATGATGTATATATATATATATATATATATATGTAGATTTTATCACTTTTATTTACATTTAGCTAACACAGGAACCATACAATGGTGTGTTGATTTCAAATTTTCTTGAAACGTCTTCTTTTATGCTGGACCTAGTGGACTTTCCCTTTTCTGTCTGTTAAATTTTGATTATAAACAAGTTCAAATGACTCCCAGAGCTTTGCTGCTGAAAAGAGTAAATGCTATAGTAGCTTTAGATTATTTAAATAAATCAATGGTATTTAGTCTATGCGCAATTCACATGGGGTTGTGAAGTCCTGAACTTCCTGTTTCCAATATAGACTGCTGTTTCTTCTCTAGATAAGCATGCCCTTTTTCTTCTCTTCAACAAGCAATTATCAACTTGGACTGATTGATATTGAAAATCGGTGTTACTACATGCCAGTAGCTTTCTATTTTCTTGAAAGAATACCGGTAGTGCTTTTTCCCCTTTCATTTTCATTCTAAATTGATAATACAAAGTGGATGATTTGATTTTATGGCTGTCAGGACATTTTTCTCTTTCTATATTTTAAGTAAACGATCTTGTTTCTTTCCAATGCAATGATACACACTATACTTTCACCAGTGTGCAGATTTTGCAATGTTTTGCAGACCTTTATAGGAAATATACCACATAAAATTCCTTTGATTCTTCATATCTCTTCAAGTTATTAATGTGACAATGTTATTGAATTCCAGCTGCTACAGTGTTAATTAATATTGTGATGCGACAGCAAAGCCTTCCTGATCACATGCATACATGTAAATGTGCAAATACGGAAGACCAGTACAGTACCAGTACTTTTTTTTGTATTTCCAAGAAAACGACTTGGTGTGATGCTTCTATCCTTCACTCTCTTTTAACATTTCTCTGAATCTCTCTCTCTCTCTCTCTCTCTCTCCCTCTCTTTCTCTCTCTCTCTCTCTCTCTCTTTCTCTCTCTCTCTCTCTCTTTCTCTCTCTCTCTCTCACATTTCTCTCCATCTATCTCTCTCTCTTTCTCCCTCTTTCTTCCTCTTTCTTTTAATCTCTATCTCCCTTAATTCTTGTTCCTATGTAACATAACTACCCGTTCATCTATTGTGCTGTGCATGTCGTGCATGATGGTCATTTTAATCATCTTGATTCCTCATTAATATTCAACCTCTGCACATTCCATTATTCAGTATTCATATTTTCAGCTACATTTGCCTATGTCTGATAATTTGATGCAAGTGATAAAACTAGCAAAAGGAATTGCTCAAAAGAATTGCTCGTAGCTTATTTATAAGGAAAGTTGCATCAATAAATGATTTTGAAAGCCAGTGGGACAAACCTATGTATGTGTATCAATAACCAACTTATTGCAGGAAAATAATGACTTTTATCTATACAACAGAAACATTTTCAGGATGTTAAAAAAAAGTGGATTTTTCTTGCAGTGTGGATATGAATTTGTGTTAAGTTTTTAAAATTTATATTTGCAATATGTATCATCTCTTCTCTCTAATCTGTATCCTCAGTGCAAAAAGTGGATCCGGAACTCCTGGACCTAGCAGTGAGCCCATCTGACCCTCCACTCAAACCAGCATTGACTCCATCCTCCTCCTCCAACCAATCATCCTCATCATCCTCCTCATCCCAGAAGAAGTCTCCTACCGCCCTGGATGAGATCCTCAAACACTCGTCATCATCCATGGTCAAACAGAAACCAAAGCGAGAGACGGGTCTCAGCTCTGAAGCTAACTCTGTCCTGGATTCACTCCCTGATCTCTCCTACATGCTGGCTAAGGTCCTCATGTTCCCTGTCGCTTCCTCCAACTCAGCATCTCCATCCAAACTGGCCAAGAGCGATGCGGTCCCCGGCACCGGCTGGGCGGAGTCAATCTCATGACAGGCAGATAGGTAGCCAGTAAGGATGCAGTCTCAAACATGGGATGGGCCAAGTCAATGTCTTGACAAACAGACGGAAGCCCCTCCCATTTCTGGCATGGTCTAGTTGAAATGACTCAACATGGACACACATTTCATTTACATGCAAGAAATATTTCTATGTTTTAATGATTAGAGGAAGGAGATCAAGTGGTGAGGGTAAGGGATCGGTAATCACACTTGCAGTAATCCCTGTCTTGCATTTTACTCCTCGTATCTCAAATCCCTTGCAGACCTCCATGTCAGTAAATAGTACATGAATGTTGCATCACTATAATCAATACAGGTACTGTATTATTCACATGATCAATCCTACATATTTCATGTGTAATAAACTAATATACTGTAGAAATATACAGTGGTACATATAATACATAGAGGTATACATGGTTGTATGTTCTACAATGATCATGTCCATTAAGGAGCAGAAAGCAATAATATCTATCTCAGAGATTTAAGGAGGTTTGTGGCCATGGATAAGACTCTCATCTTGCAGGTAACTTAATGCCGATGCCTCTAGCTGTATCGGTATTCAAGTTTTCCCATGACATTGCTCATAGCATCACAAGCCTGGTCCAAACGTGATGCGGTAAACCACCTTCAGAAAAACAAAGAACTTTGAAATATACACCCTTTTATGTGTTGATAAATGGCAGGAAAAGATAGCCAAAAGGAGATCCACTCGACAAAGGCAACTCATCATTCTTAGCTCTGTGTGTTATGATATACAAAAGAGTGGAGCATATGCTTATTTCAGGCAGTGATTTATTTAAAGGGGTCCAGTAACTTTGTCTCAGATTCTGAAACAAAATCTTGAATTTAGCTCATGCTGCAATGATAATTATAAACCTTTAGGTCAGTTAGAAACCCCATGACTTTTACAAGCCGATCGCCTGTCTGATTATCAAGATTTTTATGATTGAAATTACAAATTTTGAAAACTGTTTGGGGAAAACGAGTATGGTAAAACCAGTCACTTCAAGATTTTTACTTTTTTGAGGCACTTGATCGTTTTGAAGCGCAATTTTTTAGGGCTTCAATATTACACCATATCACAGACACTGATAACACGTAGGGCCATGCATCTCAGATTTAACATTGAAGAACGATGCCTTTAAGGTGGGTTACTGTTTGAAGGAGGCTTCATGAAAGTGTTGGGGTAGAGTTGTTTGAGCACTTAGGAGATGTGAAGGGGTTTGAACCCTGGCACAGGCAAGACATACTTTCCTTAGGCAAGACATTTAATCTACTTTGTATTTCTGTACCCAGATGCATAAATCAACATGCAAACATCATTGTTGTTCAATAATAACATGCTCCCTAGGTAGACTAGAGAGTGTGAAATTGTAATACAGTAAAGATGTTTCATCATGTATTGGCACATAAAAGAATATTATCATCATTATCAGTGTTGATCTTAATTGGCATATAGCTATCATATCTACACCCAAGTAATGTATCCCTCTCCTTTTAGTATACCGGTAAGTAATAGAATTTAGTCGATCAGAAACATCTGAAATAGAGAGAGCCAAAGGAAATCTGTACGCAAACCATTTTCTACTTATCATGCTATTGAAGAGATATATTCGGACCTATGCTACTATACATTGTTTTGTTACATGAGAAAAGAGTGTACATACTTCACAGAGAATCTATATATTCCTACTGGTTGTGTTGATATAAGTATTTTATCAATGGGATGAATTCTTTTTTTCACGTTTCATTCCATTGTGTATGTCTTTGTGAGTAGGCTCTATTGATAATGAGTGACATGTAATTTACTAATGACCACTTTATATAATATTCCCATATTATATTAGAATTTGGGAAGAATTATTATTTAGTACTTAATTACCTTTGTGATTTAATAAATGAGAGTATGTTCAACTTATTGACTGAAAGATATTTGACCACTTTTCCCCATTTAAATTGTTATTTCTCGTCCATGTGATGGTTGGACTTGATAGACTTGTGAAATGAATTGAATTTAGACAATATGTACTACTTCAAAATTAAATGACTATGAAAACATACATGGGTATTATTGCTTGTGCTATTACACTTCATGGGCTTATATGTACTTTCTTGTTTATAAGAGCATCTTGCTTGAATTCATAGGCAGTTCATAGAAAAATCTTAGATTTCATTTCATGATAAATGGGATCTTTTCTTTTTTCACGTTTCATTCCATTGTGTGCGTCTTTGTGAGTAGGATAATCAATTCTTTTCACAAAATTTGATTGTGGATTTTAATTAAGGGTTAGTTGGTTTCTGTCCTGAAATCCATGATTACTAGTTGTTTTTTCACATTTTATAAAATTTTATCTTTTTATTAAGGCTTTGTTAGAGCTAGATTGAAAAAGAAATAAGATGGATGTCTCATCATACAACCCATAACAATTTGAATTCCCAGCAAAATATTTGCTTGTATTTTTTTGTGGACTGGTATCAGTTGGTTTGTGGAAAGTATTCTATATATTACTATTTGACTTATAAGAGGTCAAGTCTGTTTCTATGAAGAAATATATATACCATGTATTCATGTTCAAAATCTGATGGGCGAATGTATTCTAGTATTATTTCATTATAGTGGTATTTTTTTTAAAACACTATATATCAGTATACTTGTCACTGCTGATTTTGTGAATGGAAGTATTATTTGCTTTGATAAGATCAGGATACTCAACATTCCCCGTGATTGCATCAGTATGCTGCCCTCTAGTGACAGAATACAGACAATGTATGCAAGTCTTTGTTCTGTCTGCTATGCACTTGTGTGTCATGCTTACCTTTTCCTTTCAAATGATATCATGCCTGTACAGACAAAGAAATATTTCTTGTTACCTCAAAACTAGTTTGACCTCGGGCGGTAGCTTTCAGAGGCATTGTTTGCTCTGTGTGACATCTAGAAATCATAGTTCACTTGCTCCATTGACTTACCTGAAGAGTCTACCTGCTGCATATTGTATCATTCTTGGAATTAAGATAAAAGCTTTATGATAAAGAAAGAGATAGATATGTTTTTCATGTAGAAAGAATAATTGAGGGGCTGGATATTGTTTATATCAATTGACTTTGTCTCCCTTTCAGAAGAAACTCTGCTCAACGTCCATAGATATTAGTAATATTCAATGTATTGTTGAGGTGTCTCGAATTTCACTAACTTTTTTAATTATTATGAAAAATATATAATCAATCTTCCTGCTTGTAGAGCTACATGCACTTCCACTGTAAAATGTTCTGAAGATACTGGACTTCTGCCAGTATCTATGTGATGGGTTAAGATTGTTATAGAAGAATTAATGTAGTTTGTTTAAGGCGTGATGACACACCATTAGCTGGAGTAATGTAGTTTATAGGGAGGGAATGGATGGCTGAGCCGGCATGCAATGAGTTGTGGATATCTGCTGTAATTGGGCTTGTCAGCTCACAGGATATTGAAGACACAGATAGTGCTTCTGACTGGGGCACCTGTTGATGGTCTTTGTTTAAGTGCAGTAATCAAAGCGAGTGGAGGGCAGCAATCAAACTGACATAACTGGTCATCATACTGTCCACTCATATTGACCAACCAGGGCATTGACCAGACCCTTGCCAAGTTCATGGTCATTTCAATCATTCTCTCTCACCTTAATGAATAGTGATGAGGTTCAGTCTTAGATTACTGCATTTGTAACTGTTGATCTTTTAAAGGTTCCACCATTTAATAGTTTTTGAAAGTTTCCTGATCTTTCAACTATATATAAATCTATTTGAAAGAAATGGACAAACACATATAATTTGAATCCTTAGCAAAATTATCCTACATCATGTTTGAAAGTAAGAATTTACCTTTAATATTTTGTCATACCTAGATGAATAAATCTGTTTTAAAAATGCATTTCAAACAAGGCTTGAAGCTTGTAATTATTAGACAAATTAGTTTCATCCATAGGGGATGGATATCTCACGCTTTATGTTTCTAGGTTATCTAGCTAACCCTTAAATCTTGGGAAATAATTTGGTTTAATGAAATGTAAATGTTGCCTTTAAGCAGTTGAGTAAGACTAAGATGAGTGTGACTCACTCTGAACAGAATGTCATTTATAATTGAAAGGAAGAGGAAAAGTGGCTGTACAATGCCTTTACCAACTACTGAATACAGTAGTTCAATAATTATCTGTGATGGTCTTATGCTTGAGAATGAAAAGAAAAGTTACAGAAGAGTAGGGGTCTAGAGACTACTTTCATGATTTACAGAGATTGTAGGTTTTGTATTATCTTCTTTTGCAATGGAAGAGTTTCTTGGCTGATCTTTGATTTTACATTCAGAATTTCTGTTACAACAGAAGTCTCATATCCATTTACTTTTTCAACAAATTCACAACTCTTGATATAGCAATTGACTGTTGGTTCTTTTGGGTATCACCGTATCACCGTAACTAATGATTGGTCACACCAAGAGATTTGTCATGCAGTCATGCAGTGCATATCTAAATCAGGGATATTGATGTTATAATGGGTGGGCAGGCATATTAAATTGGATACTCCAATAGTCACTTGAGTGAAATGGTATTGAAAGAGTAGTTGTCAGCTTCAGTGGGTCTTTTATCATACAATCATCACTCAATTTGCTTGGTCTTACGGTACTGACAATGATTTCCCCTCGCACTACCCATACCAGTTCCCTCCTAACTAATAGCCCACTCCCTTACTTTGCTCACATTCATAGTTTCCTTGTTGTCCCTAGTTACAAATCAAAAGACTCCCTTTTATTTGTATTTTATCACTGGAGACGGCTGGGTGACAGAAAACAATTCTTTTTCATCTTTTGAATGGTAAAAATCAGACGGCCTTGACAAAACAGGCAACCTTCACGGTAGAAGAGAGAAGCTATTGTATCAAAGTTTGAAAACAAGTTGTTGTAACAAAAGAAAATTGTCTGACAGGCAGATGTTGTATTTGATATATTCATGCCTATCACAGATATATAAATATACTGCCGATAAACATGTTTATATCAACATATATTGCTGCATTGTACAAGTGTGTAATGCATTCAACAAAGATTGTGTATTTATTTGTTTGTCACTAAATACTCTAAACATGAATCATAGAATACTGCCTGGCTGTGTGTAAACAGAATTGACAATGCAATATCTGTGTCAAGTCTGTGTTTGGCTTAGAAGTATGTTTTTCCTTACATCAGTTACGTGCTAATGTTTATTTCTTTGTTATCTGGTTTTTGTTTTCCATTTGTGGGCTAAACACACTTGTTTCAACAACAACAAATAATTGGGGTCCACTGATGTGTAAAGAGTGGAATACTAACAAATAAAATACACAAATTTGGTTACTATTTTTTTTTAAACAGTAATCAGATGTGATATATCATTATCACTTACTTGCATTTTATTGTTTGTAGTCAGTACCTATGTTGTATTGCTTACTTGATTTAATAACTTGATTCCCCTGAACCATTATTGGAAAAGCAGACTTTAGTACAATTCTTTATTTTAATGCCATGTTAGCAAGACATTTACTTTCTTTCATGAAATGTTTTTAGTTTTTCTTCAAATCACTTTTCATGGCATGGGCTAGTCAGAACTGAACCAGAACGATAACAATTAGTCGCTCCCAAATCAATTTTCCTATGGTTCATATGAAACTGCATTGGAAACCGTTTTTCTGGAGGATGATGATGATAATGATGGTATGACAAATTATGTTGCAATTTATCTTTTAATGATTCTCATTTTAACTTGTTGGGATTGCTTGACAAATGAATTCCTTAGGCCAGATATCAACAATATTTGTGAGCTGATCATTCCACTCCTGTGATGTAATATCAGATCAGCTGAGCCACACAGGCAGTGTCCATTGTGTTTGATTCACAG